CTCAAGGACTCTTGTAACGGATAAGTGATCTTTAAGTTATGAGTGTCGAAAGTGGCTCATATGGATAGGCGAAGGCGCGGAAGTGCCTTTGGAGGTAGCCCGATTTCGGAGCAAGTGCCTTCAAAGCAAGTGCCTTCGGAGGAGGCGACTTCAGTGCAGAGACCCTCAGAGAACATCCCTACGCCTGAAGGCAGGGAGGACGAAGACAGGAATGCGGGAACACGTGTGCCTTCTACGGAAGGAGTGAACGAGCTGCCTTCGGCGGACCCAGAGTGAAAAGACTTAGCATGGCCAACTGGGGTAGGTTTTCCAACTCCGCTGGAGATGCTATCAGGACATGGAGGTGAGGCCGCGGCAGAGTAGGCTGCGAGGCCCAGCGCGGGGGAATCACCTATGAATTTTGGCCTTGGAGCTGAGATCTTGCGGGGGCCATAACTTTGTGCTTGAGGGTCAAATGGAACTAAAATCTGGTGAGGCTGTTGGTCTCAGTCGGCCGCACATGCCTGCAAATTTTCAGCCTCAGAGCTTGGATCGAATGCTCTTAAAGAAGCTGGTGGCTTATCAGTGTAGTAGATTTAGGGTTAGACTCAGATTTAGCATTAAGTTTCGAATTAAAGTTAGGGTTGGCTTGGCAGGCTGGTGGTTGCAGAGGCCGGTGGCTGCGGATGCTGATGGGTTTTAGTGAAGTGCGTCGGTGGTGTGCCAGAGTATTCTTTTTGTGTGTTGATTCCTCTAGTGGAGGAAGTAGAGAGAAGAGTTAGGATATGATAGCTAGATGTTATTGGCAATACTAGAGGTAGCACGAGTGGCTATTGTCTAAGTGTAGTTTCATGAGTGTTAGTGTTTTATCCTTGTTCGCTTAGACCTCCCATCCGGACTCAAACGCAAAGTGGTGGGGAGTTAAATGCTTACATAAATATTGCCAAACATTAAAAAAAACTTCTAATTGTAGATGAACAAGAAATATAGAAAAAATTTAAATTTTACAATATTTTATATAATAATTTATTAAACTTAAAATATATCTTTAATTTAATAAATTTTTGAATGTGAAATCTAATATCAACAAAATTTGTGATGCTATTTTTTCAAAAGTAAATAATTATGAAATTTTTCGTTGGAAAATTATTTAGTTTTATATATTTATGATGAATTTCAATTGTTTCTCTTATAAATATTTACTTGTATTATACGTTGTAATAAAATTACTGGTAAAAATCATCAATTGAAGTAATGAATTAGTTTTTTATAACATTATAATAAAGTCATTTTCAGATTGATATATCTTTAGATTTTATTTTTATGTATTTCATCTGGATTTTGTTGAATACTCGTCATCATTGTTGTATTGTAAATTGATGTCATTAACGTTGCTTCTTTAATTCAAATAATTGTTTTAAACTATGTTTTGTATCATCCAAATAAGCTAAATTTCTGTATCTCATTTTTTTTCATTCTTTTCAATCACTGTATTTTTTGAAAGAAATATTGATGATCAATTTAAGGAAAATATTTATGTATTTTAGTGTTTGTAATTTTCATATTTGACTGAAAGCTATGTTTGTTGGTGACATGTGAGATCACAAGCTCATTCAAACACATAAATCTTTGTAGGTACTAGTCTTCATCACAACATGTAATATATGAAAGTATTTATTCATTATATTTATGATAATATTTATTTTCTTCAGATTTTCTTGGTTTCATGTTGATGCATCTAGAATTTCAATTATAAGAATAGTAATAACAATTTTAAACGTTAGATATTCATAGTTTGATTTATTCTTATGTGTTCAAACCATTTATTGATATGTATTCTAACATGTAAAGTATTTGAATCAAAAAATAATAAACTCAGGAAAAAACTATATTTTTTACTTTAACATATAAAATGTATTTCCAATTGTTGTCAAATTTACGTAAATTTCTTCCTTACAGTAGATTAGAAATGTCTCTAGATAAACTAAGTAGTACAAAAGAAAATTACACTAAATAAAACAGAGTTCTACATATCTTGAGTTGTTGATTCTACACTAAACTCAAATATGAACAAAGTATGCTTAAGTCGAACTGCTCAAAAGTATATATCAGCAAAGTATATCTCCCTCTCATCACTTAATTAGTATTCTAAAACTAATTTAACCAGTTGTGGTTGCTATTGTTCTTTTCATTCTTTCTCCTACCGGTTGCTTAAAATCCAACATACATAGTAAGAGGTATTGGGCTGCGTCTAGACAAAGGAGAATTGTGATTTGCCGAAGTCATTTTACATGTTCTAGAGTATTGTGAGGATAATAATGCTACAGTACTAGTACAACTTGGAACACATGTATACGTAGTGAGTATCATATGGAAAACATAGGTTCTTGTAGTTCACATGTCCAACAGGCCGTGGTCTACCTACCCTGCGACTCAGTAAATATATATTTGTGCTACATTTTCAATGTGTGCATATGTAACAAATTTTTTAATTCTAGTTGCATCGTTGAGTAGTGTTCAAACTTCGTAGTTGTTTTGACCAGAATATACATATAGATATCTTAAACAAAGATATAAATTGTCCATACGAAGGAGGACAAAAATGATTTTCAGCATTTGTATTCACATCACATCTATGAAAGAGTACTTGCATAATTTAAAATCCGATTTAGGTTCATTGGTACTATCTAAAGCATAAAAGTCATCTGAAAACTTATGCAAGATTTGCAAAAATTTATGTAAAATTATATTTGGATGGAAAGAATGATCTAAAGCTTTGAAACATTCTAAAATATAGACATTAACACTGGGAATAAATTGCAAGATGCTTTAACTTTAAGGAATTAGATGCTTTGAATATTTGTAGTCTTGGAATGTTGGACTTGTCCTTTATACACCTATGCTGTACATGTGTTAGATGATGGAGGGGGTGCGGGGTAGATCTTATAGGTTGAAATGTCGTTGGATTTAAAGTATCGAATAAAAACTATTAAACTTTCAGAAAAGAGTGAAAACTATTATTCTCCACAAACACATTCTCGTATTTCAGAAAGAGCTGCTAAATTAAGCTCTAATAATCTGTTTGAGGAATTTTTGTTCCGATACTTCAATTTAATTAAAAATAAAATCTTTTAGATCGATCTCCTAGATAAATCAGTAAAACTTATGAAGATATTGGTTCTGGTCCTAAATAATAACAAGAGGTAATGATAATGGACGATTTGATACATTTGATTTTGAAAAGATTCAGGGATTAAAAGTGAAGAAGACAAGGAAATACTCATAATCCCGGTAATTACCAATATTTGATAACTTGAAGCCACTTAATCCAGATTTAAACGGAAGAATATATAAAATCTTTTCTGAAATGACTTATGTTCGGAAAGAACCCCGAGAAGAAATGATGCAAAGAGTTATGCAACTGAAACGTGCCGTTATCATTCGTCTTCCTCTGATTATAAGTTTAAATATTTCCCTAAAAAGTGTATCAATCAAGAGAATAGTTTGCTTTCTGGGTAAATTACTTGATGGGACTATGGAAACCCAGAACACTTGATGGTACCATCGGGTACAATGAAGCCTGTAAAATGAAGCTTCATTTTACACGATGGGATCCTTCGAAAGCGCTGCAGCCCTTTCGAAGTTCGAGTACAACCTGGGGTTATTTAGTGTAGAAAGATGAAGTCACGGTTCAGACTCAAGTTTCCCGTCGCTTTGTCAGACATGGGTGCGAAGGAATCGCCAAATTACTATGGCGCGACAGTGGCGACAGCCATAGCTGACATAGCTGACGGTGGCTGTCGAATGGGGTCCCATGAGGTAATTAGAAACTTGATGCGGCCCTTCGAGAGGGTTGGGTTTTCAAGGGGTTCATCAAATCTTTATTTCCTAGACAAAATGTAAATGAGGGGAGAAAAGTAGAGATATTCGATGTTTCAACCGTTGATGATGTAGACACTTCTTTAGCAAAAAGAGTGGGATTCAGTGATGGAACTTCCGGGGAGGTCATCTGTCCAAGGTACTATTCAGGCCAGGGGCGTTTTAGGGCAAAGCTCCGATGCGCTAAGACAAGGGAGGAGTTCCAGTGATATACAGAAGTGCTATAGAATATCAGTAGCCAATAACACCACCAGCCAAGTTGGGTTCGGTTGTAGAGGCAGTTAGAAGCCCACCGTCACTTTGGCCGGAGTTACGCAAAAATATAGACGCTCCGGGGTTGAGCTCAGTCAAGACGTTTCCCGGACAACCGGCCTGGCTCGGAGCCAGACTTGCATTGGGGCGAGAATCAGTCAGGGCATTTAAGCGAATGTTTCGGGCGAAAATCAGTCAGGGCATTTAAGCGAATGTTTCGGGCGAGAGCCAGCGTGAGTGAGTCTTAGTGTTACAAGATCCCGCTCACGACCCATATCATAAACAATCAACACCTTTTTTGGTCAAATGCCCGAGGAACAACACAATGTTCCAACCTGGGCGGGTGAAACTGAACCTTCCCCCATCTGAAGTTTATTCACGGTAAGAAGTAGCTTCCTTGGCTTTGGACTCAGAACAGGCAAGGCTACGAACTGAGGGAAAGTATGCCCGCTAAGCTACGATGCATCAAACTAAGAAGAAAGCTTAGAGCAAAAGGAAGAGGAGGTGTGGAAGGATCATCCAGACTCGGCACAGAATGCACTTTCGGTTTGCATGACCCGTCGCAGGTACAAACGCGGGACTGAAGCTCTGACCAAGATTTTGGGAGATGAGTGTACTGCCAGGACCAGACCGACCAGCCAGTAACATAACAGTAGGTGGTAAAGAAATGAAGTTAGGTCGTTGTGTGGATGATATGGTAAAATACCCAGGTTAGTCCCTCAACATAATGGACTTCTCTTTCATTTCTTACATTTAAATAGATATGACATGGCGGATTGCAGGGAGACTTATCAGAATTTAGGCAACGAAGGTTTAAGCACAGGTATACATCTCTCAGGGTTCAAAGTCAACAGCTACAATAAAAGGGGCAAATTTTGAAATACACTGTCACTGAAATCATTCACTTCAGATTTACTGTGGTACCCAGACGACCATGCGTGCACAAGGTAGGTATCACAGTAATCAGAGCTTGCATTAAATTCAGACAACAGGACACTGGATCAAACATAAGGCCGTCTATACAATAACTCCCGGACAGACCAACACTTCTCCAGGATATATCCAGCTCAAAACAGGGTGATCTTGGTGGTTGCGACTAAGTAATACACTCTAATTTGAGTGCGTGATGTGAGATTTCCAAAGTCTACACGAATTGTTGAATAGAACCTGAAGACACAATGATAACTTTCCCCCTCTAGTTAAGCACACGATGTTGGCCATGGGATCCACAGAATATGCTTGATTCCAGGGTAAAGTATCAAACAGTTTTGCACTCCGCCGAGAAAAACGACCTCGGTCTGGGCCGAAGTGACTTTAAAATTAGTGGCTACAATATCCCAAAATTGTGTATTAGACCTTGAAGCCTCTGCTGTTCCTGCGACCTCTGGCCTTCTCAAATTTCCTACCCTTATGTCGGACATATGGCTTCGTGTGGGAATGTGGCACTCCGGGTGCCCTACCAAAGTGCTTCACTGCTTCGCGTGAGTTCTTGGGTCCTCTCAAAAGCACCTGTAAATACAACGAACACGTGACCGCAGGTTTGAATCAGTGACAACAGGGGAGAATAACTAACTGGCGAACCCAGACATGTGCGTTTTCAGAACTGTGACCTCTAGTGTGAAGTCTACTTTTGGCGACACCTTCATTCAGTGGAGTCCAGTGGCTTATGTCACAACAATAATTTAGGTGTGTCGATCTTCAGTTACGGATCAACAGTCATTTCTACGTAGAGTTCTGGGTGACATTACGAGAAGACAAATCGAGCAGATAAATATATGTGAAGTACTTGTGCTTCCATGTAAGTTACAATTCATTCCAGTTCAAAGTAGTAGAACTTACACATCCGGTTCCGGTAGGAGCCTTGAGGGCAAGCTCGTCGAAGGTGTAGATTTCACCACCATTCTTCAAGATACGTGCACGGGCCGTCTCAGTGAACCTAAGAGCAGCAACCTTCAAGGCAGGGACCTCGTACAATCTCACGTCATCGGTGACGGTTCCAACGATCACAGCGATCTTGTCTTCCTTGCCTTTCATGTAGCGGGAGAGACGAGACATGGAAATGGGAGCCCTGTGGGTTTTACTCATGAACAGCCTCTTCAAGACAACGGCATTGAAAGAAGCGTCCGTCCTTCTCACGAGAAATCGGTAAAGCTGTAAATTTGGTGCACAAAAGAAATTCCAGTCAGATCGCGCCTATGAGACATGGGAGAGCAGAATAAGTCAACTGGAAGTGCAATTCAGTGAAATTATCAAACCTACCCACCTTCACAAGAAGCTTCAAGTACACATTGTCACTCTTGGGAGCAGTACGTGTGGTCTTCTTGTTACGCCCACCGGCTTTCAAGTCGATACCCTAGCATACAAATCGAAGTCAGATATCCGAATTTCAAACCCTAAGGTTTGCCAGTGCGAATTCTACAGGCGAAAATCATTCTATACCAGCACTCCGATCAACTCTACGGATGCATCTCACCATCTTTGACAAGCTTGAACGACGTCTTTACACATACGAGAACAAGAATTGAGAACTCAAATCGACATTCTCACCATCTTTGCTCGGCAGGTATCCTGCGGGAGCTTGCGCAGTCGAGGGAGAGAGAGAGAGGAGAAAGGGCGAGTGATTGTCACGGACTGGGCAAAACCCTGATTGAGACTCTCGTTTCTCAAACCCTAAACAGGCATAGGCCCTTGCCGTCGATCTCGGTTGAATCTAATGGCCACAGATTTTCCCGTATTTCCTCTATTCCAGCCCTGTTCATAAACTTGGAGCTGCAACCTCTCTCGAATAAGCAGGACTCGATCCAGTAACTACTAACCCCGCCACGATGCTCTAACCTGTACTGCGGTCACTTTTAAACCCTGCTATAGAGGAATATCACTCCACGACTCGAACATTATCGGCTGACCTAACCCGAAAATCATATTGTCGCAATCTTTTATTATAGTGCACGTTGCCAGACTATTACTCTCTTCTCCTATCCAAAACTTCAGTATAATAAACTTCCAGATAGGATTTTACGCGTAGCGTATGTAACAAAATATACTTCTTTTTGTACATATATAGGACCAATATTAGTACAAAATTAAATACGCGAAATCTACAGTAAAATCGACAAAAAGTTGATTTTACTGTAGATGCAATTTCGTATATTTATACACAGTCGTGAGTTTCTTCGATAGATTGTATATTCTACGGCGGTTCCTTGATTGAATATTTGATATAAATTAAGTGTTCGGGTAAAGTCTTGACTCTATGTGGAAGTATATGCTTCACTGCATGGGAAGCATGCTAATTCCCTTAGAGGGATAGTGCTTACAACGATGAAAGTACCTGATGATGGCGATTTTATTCTGGCTTTTGCTCTCTACTCTGATATGTACTCCCAAAATATATTGCTCCTCAAGGATCATATGATCAGATATAAACCTTGGGTAGCAATTTTGTATTCCAGGAAACTGAGGCAGGCGAAACATGACTTCTGTACGGGCTTCCTTTTCAGTTGAGATAATTGTTATTCAAGTTGGCATAGTCTGCTTGGCCTGTAATGGATATTCAGGCTGCGAGAGAAGTATGATCCATCTCGATTAGAGGCAGTCTTGTCCAGGTATTTTTTCATTCACTCTCTTCAGCTAGTGATCTAGGAATCTGCTGGAAGACTGAGTGGTGGGATCGAGGAATCACGCATATTCGTGAAGTGGTTATTCAGCTGTAATGTTCGCTATCATGATTTAATCAGTGACGAGTCTTGGTGCGGTTATGTTCTGCCGAACACACAATTTTTCAACGTTCAGATATTGTCCACTTTGACTTTGTAACACAAAAATATACTCACCTTTGCATCTCATACTTATGACTTCAACTCTTAGCGTTTCCATGACTTCATCATTGAGTGTCTTCTGCAATTTTAACACAACTAGGTAGTTGTGGTATGTATTGATAGCTTAAGTATGAGATACGCATGAAGGCAGTGAAGGTGACTGACTATCTGACATCGAGTAAATCCCTCCTCCTCCAGAGTATTTCGTTCTCAGATGCTGATAATGTGTCATTGATTAATTCGGGAGAAATGAAAATGCGAAGGATTTTCAAACGGACTTCCAAGCAGGCAATCTGGATGTGCTAGTCCTTAGTCCTCTAGATGAGCAGACTTACTTTTCTGACTGACGTTTCAGAGAGTGTTGGATGGCTTGAATGCTTGATTGGAGACTAAAATACTGGTGTGTTGTTCTAATCACTGCGCAGAGGTCCCACCGCCGTCGTATTTCACTCTGCCTGTCAGGGAAGGAGAACCGGGTTCTGAAGAAGAGGTGGATGCTCACGGGAAGAGAAGGAAACAAGCTGGTGGTCTGTCTAGTGATCGGGAGTTCGACGCGGCCCAGAAGGCTCCTTCAGCGTTGGCAGATGCGAAAAGAGTTATAATGACATCGACCAAGCACGCGCGTTGAGAAAAAAGCTTGATGCGGATAAAGGCATCGAGGGCGATATCTTGCTTACTTCTGGAAATTCCAACCTAAAGGATGAGAAATCAATGAGTGGCGTTTCGTTAGGCACGATGGTTATCATTAGAGGTGCCAACCAGGTCCAAGGGCTGGAAGGGCTTGAACTAATGGACGTTATGCTAACGTAGTTATGGCGCATTCATTCTCTCGATTACTACGGCATGGTGGAGCTGAAAGACGCCCCCAAAAGGCCCGAACTGAAGGAGGAGACGAAAGTGCACTGCAAGTAGCAGCTGCTGACTGGGAGAAGAAACTTGACTCAATGTGGCAAAGTAGACTACGTAGAAGTTCAAATCTTATAGAGGATATGCTTGGTGGGGACAAACTTGAAGCGACAGCGAATGAAGCTTTGGATCCTTTTGCGAGGAAAATTCGAGATGAGAAGATGCTCCCCAAGGCTCATATGATCGATCGGACACAAACCTTGGGTAGCAATTTGTCGACGTTCTTTTAAATCGTTCATTGAAACCAAGGGCTTACGCAAAAATCCTGTAGGTAGATGTGACAGAATCTCGTACAGGTTCCTCACGAACATTTGCAAGCTACAACAGCCAGACAGCAAATATATCAACAGGAGGGCAACGGCGAAACAAAAACTTTGAGCTTCCACCATGAGAACAATATGGTTCGACGTGGACACACAAAACATAGTCCAACGTTCCATACAAGATCATACCCGCTTGAACCAATCTTGTTGTCCAATTTCATAGATGTTCGTTCCTCAACATATCTCGGAAGTAGCGAAATATCTACATAACCATGGAATATCAATATATTGGCAAAGTCAGGGTAATAACCTTCGCATGTAGACCTGGCCGGTTAAGAGAAAGGACCAAAACACAGATACTAACCTCACTATATACTGAAAAAATTCCGAATCCAGAATAGCCACGATGTTGGAAATTGAATGGTTGACAGTTACCTATCCAACAAAGAACGATGTTAACAACTTCATATCAGATTGGTTGACAGGAGAAGTACCTCAAATTTTTACAATTATGTGATTTGTGCAACTGCGAAATAGGAAGCTCAAGAAGTTCACATGGACTGTGTAACATTATTATTATTTTACAATAGGCAAATAGTCCCCCACCAGAGCCTTCATGAGCATAGAGCCTTCCCGAATAGAGCATGGCTGAAACTTCCGGGGGTTTCTACGCCAACAAACTCCATAAGGGTCCTCACGACTTGTACCTGCACGAGGAAACAATTTAGCCTCAGAAACTTTACTCAAGGACCGACAACCGACCTAAAACGAAACCTTTCACAACATTTTCCTCGGCTGCTTCATTTCCAGAGAACCTGAAGCATGCTACGGATTATTGACGTCGGATTCCTTTTAAGGACTGAATAGGCAGGTTGAATACCACCTTCCACTTAACACATCGACACCCTTAATAGCCAAACGTGGGAAGGAGATTCTCAGTCAATGTCTATGGCCAACCAGGCGTCAAGAGACTGCAATTCCGGACTAGAGTACACTACACTACAAGCAGTGATGCAAATGAAACAACTGAGATACTGTGCTCTCCCAAACCCATAATGTTTCGTTAAGTTAGAAGAAAGGGCGAGCAAAGTTGCCAGTGCTCCAACTACAGCTTCTCGGATCTTCAGAATATTGCAAAGAATTCGCTCACTATCCAAGCGTCGACACAGAGAAGCTACAGTTTGGACAACTTCCAGAAGAAATCGAAGTAGCGAAGGGAAAGAGATAACTAGGTCGAGAACCGCAACGGCCACAGCGGTACAGGACCCGGGAGTTACAGTGATGAAGATAGTTAGACAGAAAGACATATATAATATATATATATATATATATATGAGAGATAAATTGTTCATTGAAACCAAGGGTTTTGGAAACAATCCTAACAATCCTAAAAGCAAATTTTTTCACATGAATTACACTTTCACTGAAAGTGAAGTCCAAGAAACAGTAGAATTTGTAGGTAACGTTACGGTTTGAAAACATCTACATGTATTAAGGTTGAGGGAAATGGGAAAAAATTCTGGAAGTGAATGAATTATTACTTTTTCATTCTCGTGATCTAGGCAGTGAATCTTAAAACTTAATATTGAATTGAAAATCTTGTCATACGGCATATGGGCTTATAGAGACAGTGTCACAGTGAACAAAAAGTCTCCGAATGATGAAGTGATAAACAATAATATTTCCCTTCCAATAACGGAATGTAGGTAACCAAACCGAACCCGAATATTACACACTGCTTGTCTCTATTATAACACCCTACTTCACAACATACAAGCTTTTGTCTGGTAAAAAATCGGGAAACAAAAAGGCTAAAGACTTATGTCACATCCACGAAAGGCCATATTTACGAATTTAATTATTTATCCAACCTTTGCTGGAAAACTGTGAGGCCATCGTCACTTTCCCTTGATGTTGACGGAGTGACTTCCCAAAACCTTCACCATTGCGATTTCCCGGCCGCTGCTCAATATGGCCAGCTTATGATTAAACTGCGTGATCCTCATTGCCTCAAACCTTGCATTTCGAAGGTTCAGCGAGAGACACGTTTGTATAGTAATGTTTTTCAATCGGGCATTCTCCATAAGTCTCACACTTATAGTTTAAACTGAGGCTAGCCATGAATGATAGACAAGTTTCGAGTGCATGACAACGCAAGAAAAATCTGTTTATAAACAGTTTTTATTTGAGATATATTTGTTCAGTACCAAATTAAAATGACTCTTCTATTATTCATGATAAATTAAAACATCGATGATGAGAAATATATATATATATATATATATATAAGCTATGATTAATTTAAAATCACTTTTATCACTTACGCTGAAATACGAATTAAGCAGGTGTTTGAAAGATATCAGTGAACTTTCAGCTATGAAGGAATTCCGGATAAAAAAATTAATTTTCATTGTAACAATGACAATAACGTCCAAACTTGAGAAATCGAATTTTCTTTACATCAACTGATTATCTGTCAAAATTATCTATTCAGGAAAATATTAATTATGTGTATTTCAAATCCAAATTCAAATTTTATAATATCTATAGTGTTACTATTGGTGCAAAAAATTTAGTGATTATATCTTTTTTCAACTTTTACATTAGTACTTATGAGTACACACAAACCCAAAAATTATCTATTTGAACAAATATTCATAGGTATGCGTTTCAGATTCAAACCCACGTTCTGTAATATATTTAATATTATTATTGGTTCAAGAATTTAGTGATCATATATTTTTAAATTTTTTTTATTACCTATAGTGGCAACACAAAAAAATACTTATGATTTGTTGTAAAATTGTGAGATGATGAAACATCTTGACTATTTTTTTAAGATATAAGTTTCTTAAAAAAATTCTTGATAGATTTCAAAAATTTATCAAGAATTGATGTAAACTTGTTTGGAAATTTTAAATTGAGGTGTTAAACTAAAATATAGTCACTTAAAAGTCATAGATACTTGTTTTGTCAATACGTCTTATCGAGATTTGGATTTTAGTTGAGATTTAGAAAAATTTAAATGAAAAAATTTCAATAAAACGTCAAAAATACATATACCCGAATAATTAACTAAAAACTAAAAAGTTAATAGATTATTATATATGACATAGTTGTATGTTAAAATACAAATACATTATTTGTTTCAATTAATTCATCACAAGAAAAATCAACAATTATGGATGTTTTAGATGAGATTTCAAGGTATTTTTGGAAAATATTGTAAACAAATATGTATACTACATAATATTTGGTAACAATATTATAAATATTTGTGTATTTAAAAAATGATAAACTAGATATCTTGTAATGATTTTCAACGACCATTAGATTGTAAGACCATTCTATAATAAGCTATAATTAAAACAGCGATGACTCAAAATGGAGATAAAATTGAATTACAATAGAAAATTTATAGGCATAACGTAAGTTATTTGTGTTTTGAGTAGATAAAAAAATATATATTTTTTGAAGGGCAACAAGTCAATCTGTGTTTTTATGAGTTAAATACTGAATGCGCCGGCTGAAATCAAAACTTCAACAATCCATGTGATTGTTAGATATATTTTTCATATCATCAAATGATTAGAAATACTTTAATGATGAAAATGATACTTTTATCTCCTTATACATGTTGGGAAGATTCATACAAAGAAGAATAACACCATTCAAGGTATTTTTAATCTTTAAAGACTGTGTTTCATTTCAAATAAACTCGTTTTTAATTTTACGTGCTTTAAATTGATTGCAATAAAATTTAAAATGTGCTTAAAAAAAACGGAAAAATATTATGATAGGTTAGAATGTCATAACTGATTCAAATATTAGACATAAAATATATCGTTTGAAACAAAAATCACAACCCCTTAGAATATAAAATGATAAATCCACGTGGATATCTATTCTTGTGAGTGAAATGGCAGAAAATAATCATTGTGTGTAAACAAGTAAAGAAAGAACGAAGGAAATAATCTGAGCGAAGAAACAAACTTATTATAGGAGCAATTTAACTGAAGAAATGGTATCTCAACACAACATTAGCTTAATCAAACAAATTATATACTTTTCATTGAAAGTAACTGCAACACTCAAATGTGTATAGGAAAAAAGGTCAAATGTAAACATAGAATGAGCTTTCTGCATACATCTTTTTATCATGAGAGTTAGAACTTCCATTCATCGTTCGTATGTTCATTAGTAGTCATCTATTCGGATGAAATACGCACCTCAACAGCCATATCATTATGCAAAATGCATTACTGCTTTCATGTATAAAGAGTGAAAATACATGAGAGGCTTGTAACTGAAAGGCGTTCTCAAACAATTACATTCGTTCATCCTCAAACTTAAATTCATATCATCTTCCTATGAGAAACTCAAATCTTGAAGACCAAAAAATGACAGCACGACTACACATTTAGTGCAATATGTGACCGAAAGCTTTCAAGTGAATACTCACGGTATAAAGTCGTCGTAGCGGCACTCACAAACTCCACTATCCGAATGGAAATAGTATGCATCAAAGCTCAATTATCAGTTATGGCCTTGCGTAATAATTGTTCGTTAAATCCTCCCACGGCTCTCGAGTAGTCTAGGTTGAAGCGTGCAGCTAGCGACGGCAGGTCGGACGATGCTCGTGAGAGTGGGAGGTGGTTGGGAATTAGTTTGGCACTGGGCAGCAGGGCAGCATCCAAAGATATGCAACATGCACTCACAGCTTTTGATCCAAGCATGGCCTTCGGATACATTCAGTTGCAAATTCAGGGCAGGGTAGGGCCGGGCAGGGGACATCGGAAAGGATCTAAAAGACACGAAAACGGAAAGTGGAAAAGATGCATTCAGATGAGAAAGAATCATCGTGGGCCGTAGCTCTGCCGACGACGACGAGAACGCAAGGCCACGACGGGAGAACAGTGCGCTGATTGGATGGGACCCGCAGGCCGTGAGCTCAAGAAGGTCCGTCCAGCTTCGTGAGGAAGACGCCAAGCGAAGAAAGGACGGAATCCACGAAGGAACTGCGTGCGGGCGGCGTTGCACTTTGGCGTGCTATTCTCGCTGATCCGAAGCTGGGCCGGGGCAGGGCGGGCAGGCCAGGGTGGGCCTCGGGTGGGGAGGGCAGGGCGGGGCTGGCTCTCGTGCCGCTGGTGAATGCTCGAGCTGCACTCGCGAACGTCTCTCCTCCGAGCGCAGCGAAGCGAATTGATTTGTTCGGGGCGAGGGAGAGCATTGCCCGAGTAGGAAGGATGTGCCAGGAATTTCCCTGGGATTGACAGGCGCGAGAGGATCGACTGAGAGGGAAATCAGGGCGATCGGTGGCGAGGTGTCAGGTTGCGGCGATGCGGTCGTAGTGGTACGGAATAGCAAAAGGATCGTGGAGGATATAGGAATGTGATTATGGAGGAAAGAGCAGAGCTGTGCAATGTGCATGGGTCGCAGGGGAACAGGTAGGATCTGGTGAGAGAAAGCGGTGCGTTGCGAGGGAGACGCGGGTTGTCCGTGAATGGATTCGCGTCCCATGCGATGCGATCGTCTATGGTTAGTTCCAATTTTGGTCCGATTATGGTGTTTTGGAGACTGCTTCTAATGGCGCGGCGCTCGATTAGTTGCATGGATCTTTTCTCAGGTTTTGCGTTTCGGCTTTCAAGGATCAGCGCTCCTTCGTGTGCGCTTTGCTTGGCATATCCTTTGAAATGTGGCTGAAGGATGGTTGGGTTCATGGGTGTTGCTCTGCAGTGCCTGTCTTGATGTGCTGCGGTCTTTTTTTCGAGAGTTTAGAACCTGCTGAACGTCCGGATTCTGGTTGAAGCTCGTATGCTTCGTTGGTTCTTTCTCTCGGGTTTCTGGAATAGGAGAAGATGGGATTGCCGCACATGAGGTAAGCTCGTCTTTACTCATCTCACCGCTGAGTAAGTATCCTACATAGGACTCTTGAGTGTATCCAAGGAGCTTGTTCACACCTCTGGCATGTCTCTTCGGCGTAGAGGACGAGTTATCTGCTTTCGAATCCAATACTGTAAACATCCGGCGAACTAATTTTGTATGTGCTACACGAGAATTGCCTCCAGAAACTGTAGGAGTAAGTAGATTCAAGGTACACGATGATGGGTTAGAAAGCTTAGGACCTTAGACTACGAGGAATCCTGTTATTTGTATATGTCTGCTATGTGCACCTATCTTCATAGTATGGAAGGAAGAAAAGTGGGGCGCAGTCGGTAAGCGAGTCATTCATATTCTAACCTTGGAGGAGAAGTCGTAGTGTTGCTTAGAAGCCCAGGAATCCGAGCAAAATTGTCAGTATCGAAGACATGTGAGCACCTGATCGTAATGAGAATTTTTAGTTTGAAATTTTGAATGTCCAGATGTACGTATGAATTGAGCCTGAATGTGACTTTGAAACGGAATTGCCGTTTCTTTCCTGCTTCGAATGAAGACTGCCCTATTACACATGCGGCACTCCAGAAGCTTTCACAAACTTTGTTCTCTCAAGCCGCACGTTTTGGATTCACCTTTGTAGTTTCTAGTATAAATGACCGAAGCTTGTTCCCATCAAGCTCCCTGTGTGTTCATATTAGATGTAGGAGTTTTGGGAAACCTATCTGCATTATTCTCCGATGTTTTAGGCTTCAGGCCAGTTCTTTTGTCACTGTTTTCGTTCCTTTTCTGTCTCTCCTTGAATACTTCTTACGATTTGCAACGAGAGTTGATTTGAAATTGAGTTACAAATGGGAAACTGAGCCCTGTACCTCCGTGTAATGAACGTGCTACAGGAATGCCGAACATGTTTCGTCAGGTCATGAACAATACAGGAGCTGATGACTGAGGTGAGAACTGAAGTTTCTCTCCTCAGGAAGAATGTCTTGGTATCCGGATATCGCCAACACTGGATTCTGTGAGACTTTGAGACTGGTAAAGCACTTGCCTGTCGCCTTTTCGAGTTCATTTATGAACAAAATTAATTTAGCTCCGATCACCTGTTATTATCAAATATTGTGATTGTTTATCTATTCTTGGACACTTAGAATTAGGGTGAGTAATGAGCTACGAGTACAGACTGTACCTGCAAGTCCGAATTCGTTACATGGTATTGAAATTCGCATGGGAAAAAGGTCAGGCATCGAAGCAATCGGCTATGATTTCAATTTTAGAGCGTGATGCTGTAAGAGCAATGGTTTAATATCTTCTTCTTTTAGTTATGGATTATGTCGAAGAGTCATGAGTTTCAAATACACACAACTCCACTTGCATTCAAATGACTACACCACTTCGCATTGTCTGTCGACGAGCTCCAGGTTTGGGTATCGGGAGGGGATGCAAGCTTTGTGCTATTTGGGTTTTGGGTTTTAAACTGCTCCGTTAGATCCATAAATTAACGTCTGTACTTGGTCTTCTTTTGCAGCGGAAAATAATTCTTGAAAGGCAGCGTTTGCCAAGAAGTACACGTCCTCCTGTTTTGGAACCTGCCAGTGCAGAATTTTTGTCTGCACTGGCTGCAGGGAGCAATTCTCGGCATATATTGCAAATTGGTTGTGGACTGTCAACGATAGCTCTGGCGGCAGCTGCTAAGGCCACAGGCACTTGTCTTATTTCTGTCAACAGTGACCAGTCACAACAAGATATTGTACAGCGCCACATAAAGGAATTGGGTCTGGATGATTATGTCGAGTTTTTCTGTGAAGAGCCTCTCGACTTTGTACCTTCTAGGGAAAATGTGGATTTTGTTTTTATAACAGGTGATGCCACTGTCTACATTCAGATTTTCGACCTTTTGCACCTCAAATCAGGAGCTATTGTCGTTGCTGATTTCGCGTTGTCTGACTCTACCAATGAGTATATAAAACATGTACGGAAGCAACCTGGTGTGGATTCTTCCACGCTCTTCGTTGGTCGAGGGATAGAAATCACAAAAATAACTTCTTGGGAGCAGTTCAAAGCCGGGTAAGAGGAATGGCATTTGATTTTCAGTTTATTTGAAATCGCCTAGATGGCATAATAGATCACGCTAGATAGAAGCTGACACGCGTTGTTTGAGCAGGAGCCTCATGACTAGTAGTATCAGACACAATTAGGACGGTCATAGCTGTGATACGGAAGAAAAACGTAAGTATTAGAGATTAGATGAGCAATGATTACGAGTTTGTTTGTCAACCTTTTCTTACAGACAGTTCCAGGTGTAACCCTATCCAGCTAGCCAGCAAACACACCAAAAGGATTTTGTTTTCTTTAGAATCTCGGCACGTTTCAACCTTAAAGATGATTTTCGCGGTCCGAGATAAGTTTTATGTAAATCAAGCTGACGTCTGGTGTCATGTCCTTTATATTTACATAACTTTAGCTTCTTGATGTTTGGTTGTGAATTTAAGTTTAGGAACATGTACAGATGGTTTACTTAGTTTTCAAGCGTCATTAGGAATTGCAAAGTGTCGTCATATGGCGCTTGCCCGGGAAGAATATCTTCTGCTGTTATTTTTATAAAGACTAAGTTCTTTTGAAGTAGTTGCACACTACTCGGGTTTTCACATAGAGCAAGGGCGAAGGCATTATGTATGTCAACTTGATGTAGATTGGCCTTACATTTGCTTGGGGAAATCATCAAGCATGTGTGGGCGACATTTCTCGCCCTCCTCGCTGTATCCCTCTGTGCCATTTGATGGCATTGGCCTTGTTTGTAGTACGGGATGGTCGTGCTTCATTACCAGTCACCTGCTTTTCATCTCACAAGTGCTCTGTTGTTGTGTCGACTTTTGTAGGAGGAAGCGATATACTGGCCCAAGTGACGACAGCGACGGACTTGATTCGTTCACGAAAGCTCGAAAATCGGTTCAGACAACCATATCCAATGCATCATCTTCCACTGCCCTTTATTCTAGTAAGGGATCCAGCAGCATCGGTTTGTCACGTACAAGTTCTGAGGCTGTACTGCCAACGAAGGCCAAAAATACGAAAGAAGTTGAGAAAACCAGTTCTATTGCCACTCAGACTATGTTATCTTCTCTTGCTGATCTACAAGGATCGAATCTCGCTGATCTAGTAATACAAGCTACGTCTAATATAAGTCCTGAGGCAATTGCTGGACTTGAGTTGAATGAAACACCAGACACGACTGCGGCTCCTACAACCAGTATGGAAACCTCCACTGCCCACGTAATTACAGTCCTGACTACTAGTAACCTGCTATCTCTAAAGTCGTTAAGCGCAGTGGAGTCAAAGCCATCTGTCCGGGTGCATTTTAAGAACGATAATTTTCAAACAGAGATCACAATTGAAGGAGAAGACCAGGACATGCTTCTCACTGACATCACTTTGGCTTTCAGTGAAGCTGCCGTTAGGTTGGATCTAAGACTTATCCTCTATTTTCTGTAAATCGTGCGTTCATTTGTTCTTGACACATCTTCAAACATCAGTTAGAGTTGCACTATCATATTTTCTCCGTATCTATTCTAGTTTAGAGTTTGTGAGTTGTCGGGTGGTTGCTCCGCCTGCTTAGTAGCACAGTGTTGTGTTTACTTTTGCTCCTTACTCTTTTATTGTGGCTTCTGTTGCCAACATATCCTGCTTTCTCGTGTGCAGTGTGCGGAGAGCCAAGATTGCGACTCAAGATAAGTACATAGAAGACGTATTTTATGTCGTTGATACGGAAAGTCAGAAGCCACTACAAGCTTCACAGTTCGACACTTTTAAGGAAAAGCTATTCAAGAGAATCGCCGATCGAAAGCGTATGGCTCACGTTTCTTAAGTGGAGACAGTACTTCTGTTAGTCGCCCGAGTCTAGAAGCATGTGTCAAAAGCCTGACACATGCTTCTGATCTGGAGTAGGACGAGGGTTGGCAGTCGAGTCTCTCGCATATGTTACTACATGCCTTTCCCCTCAGAACTTGGGTCCCCTTTGTTGGCAGACCTCTTTTAGGTCAAGATTGTATGATAGCTGTAATTTAGAATATCCTTCAAGTCTTGTTAATATGCGAGATATGAAATTCCTGATGTGATGAAGAGAAATTGGTGGATTTGATGATTTTCTAGAGGGCTGCTGCGTGCTTTTGAGGTGGAACGGAGAGTTTGTTTTATGATCTTAGGAGGATTTGTGCTAGTATGAACTGTTTGTTTGTATGCGGAAGTTGGTAAATCTTGTCTTGGCGGAAAATCGTATGCCCTCAGCATTACTGCTACAGTGAACTGCCTCGCCGCTGGTGGGCCACTCCTTTGCGTTGTAAGAGGAGAAATAAGCGACAATTTTTATGGGGCTAAATTACCGTCATACTACGCTTTTTCTGAAATGTACCTCTCGTATGTCTGGAAATGACCACTTCGACCTTTTACTTCAATAACTGTCTGCCATGGCATACTGCACATATTATCTGTGACTTATCCGGACTTTTGGCAATAAGAAGTTATCAAGGACGAGGATGAATTATAATGGAAGTAAAAATCTGGGGCATCCCTCTGATGAGAACGACAAACATGACCACATGCGAGCCGTTAGGCTAGTATCGCGCGTCGTGTTCGTTCTCTCAAGGTCTTGTAGTTCGTGACAAGTACAGTATGACCAAATATCCATTGGTTGTTGCAGAGACCAGACGACGAGAAGGAGGTGACTTGTGGTTGAAGCTACCCGAGGTGTACTAGAGCTGAGTTGAGCTTGAGTAGGAATTGCAGTGCAATGGGTTCGTCCTCTGGTTATCACCTGCACTGCACTACTCCGGAGTGCACTGTACTGGACCTGATCGGTGTGCCACAGAAGACTCCGTGGGCATTCTGGAGTCCTGGAATCCTCGAACTCGTGAAACTGTGCTTCGTAAGCACAATATCACGTGGTGTCACATGTGCTTACGAAGCACATGTGACATGACACCAAGAAGTTCGCCGAGGGTAGCTGAAGCGTAGTACAGCGCAGCTGTACGAGTTTATCTTATGTGGTGTCAGATCACTAATGTAAGAATGGTACGAAATCTTAGAGGGCGACAGCAGTAAAGTACACACAGTAGTTGACATTCTGTAGTACGTGTCACCTCACTACTGTCATGTAGCGTTCATCGGCAAACCTGACCGTGGGAGCCTGGGGTGAAAGCAAGTAGCCTGGCTTGTGGATTCGAGTACTGGAGTCAGTAAAATGTTTTGTAGTCATTGGAAGATGACAGAAATGTTTTTAGCGGATGGTGGACGCAGGATCAGAACCACGTCTAGGGTTGATGTTCGAACTGACCAACTATTTCAAGTTGATGCGGATGGGCTGCGTTGTTTTGGGCGTGCGTATTTGCAATGGCATTCTAATTCCATACTTCTCAAGATGGATGGAACTTAGTTATAGGCAAAAGATTAGCTTCATGTGAAGTCATGTTAAACATTAAACTTGATTTCACCTTTGATTTAGCTAAATATTTCGTTCAATGTGAACAAGATCCTAAAGTGTGTGTCTTGAATAAATTGTTTGATTTGTTTGATCATTGTTTGAATTCAAACAATGTAGCTCAACTTCCAATACAAGATCTTGTTGACATCTCACTGTATAGTATTACATGGTGTGTAATAGTATTACACTGTACACTAAACAAACAAGTGTGTCGAAGTGATTCAAAGTTCAAACTATTTGTTCATGTACATTCATCATCCTTGTTCTCGTCATCCTTTCCATACTCAGCTTCAACAGTAACTAAATGACTTGTTTCAAATGTATTACTTCGACAAATATTGCATTCTATTAAATTTCTCGCTTTCATGAAATTTATCTTTACAAACTCCATGGCATCAATATAAAAAGGTTTCAGACAAAAAAAAACATTTGTAGGTACCACACAACTTGGAGATAAGGCGAGTGATACTTGCTAAATACCACACACATAGATTAAATCACAAAAATGTCTAGTGCTGCGTCGCATCCCAACCAATAATACAAAGTGTTGAATAAAATAATAGAACAATTTTACTAAAACTCTCAAAGTTAATAACTTTGGTCAGCTTATAATTTGTATTGGATTAAATTTCAATCTTGATGAACTCAATCTTTTTATCATAGACAACGTCTATGATAAGTGATGTATAATGTGGATATATATATATACACACATTATATATATATCATCATCATCTATCCATCACTTGACACAAGATGAAATTACTCTCAATTCATAATAAATATATATAATATATTGACTTGATAATATTCCATTGATAAGTATGATAAAAAAGTGGTATACTTTGCTGACTTCTTTTCTATATATTTGAATTTATTAATTGTTTTTTCTATGTATGATTTACTAATGGACTTTTATATTATGCATCCAATTTAAAAATTTGATGTATATCTATACATCAAATTTTTAAATGATGTAGAGAATATCATATTTGATTCTTGTTCAAAATCAACTACATAGCAAATCAACTCATTTGAAATTGACTAATACATCATCAAACAAAATATCATATTTGTAATAATTTTTGAGTTAATTGAAAATGTCTTTTTCAAGTTTTTCCTGCATTTTCAATTGTATATGATAACTTTCTAATAGTGACACAATATCAATTCTATTATACATCATCAAATAAATGAGTTTACTAATTTTCTTTAAGCTTGAATAATAACTGTAAGTTTTTAACATTATCAGTGGAAATAATTAAACTGGTAAAATATTAACATTTGTGATAAACAATATCATTCGTATTAAATTTTTTTCATGTTAAACTTTCCAACCACATAAAATATATTCTTATAAAATAAAATCTAGCATTTTTTCCATAACTCTATGAACAGCAAACTCAACTCTAATTTTTGATTTATCTAAATTTTTCATCCTATATGAATTGCATTTCACTTTTATATTTCTCACATGCTAGATGATTATTGGACAAATTGAGCATGTCATTAACATAAAGAAAAAATCGATGAGACAATTTAAACATCACATAAATCAAACATAAATGATATGTCTATGAAAGAATTTTTATTTTCATATACACATGAAATAAATTTAAAAATTGATAACTTCAAAAGTTTTGCATGTTGAAATCATTATCAATAGAAATGGTTGGTCTGTTGGTAAGTGATATGATAGTCCATCTATACAATGATAAGTACAAGAAACTAGGTGGTTTACCTCAATCAGACTAAGTCTAGTGGAAGACAAAGTTGGTCTATCATAAATTTATTTTTGTACCACATAACTTTATTTAATTTTTATAATTTGGTAGTTTAATGCAAAACTTAATAACCTCTTTTCTATTATTGATGTTTACAAGACATTTGGATTTATGAGAGTTATTTATCAATCCAATCCACTCAATCACATAGTACTGACAATTAACCTGGACTACATCTTGTGGTGTTTCTTCTTGGAAAAAAACAAATTTCTCCTTTCAACTTTATAAATATATCCTCTCTAAAAAGAAGACACTTTGAACACCGGAGCAAATCCGAGGAAAGATCCGGGCAAGCATCCGACCAGACACCAGGCACACGAATCCATCTGGAATCAAATATAAAAGATTAATTTACATTAAATACTTTTTCACTTAATTCTAAGTACTGTTACTTATTTTCCATGGCACACGAATCCATTTGGAATCAAATATATAAAAGATCAATTTACCATCGATACTTTTTACTTAACTCTTAGCCTTGTTGCTTATTTTCCATGGCAAGCGACATAATGCGAATGGCATAATTTTGGGCGGCTGGCTTCGCGCTCCTCAAGATTGTCAGCTTTCTAACAAAACTGACCATTTGCCCTCAACTTGGTCTACAACCTTATATCCTCCTCAAGTTGGCTGGGGGTAATCTAATTCCTTGTAATCTAAATCTCCTCCGGGATGCCGGCAGGACCTAGACATCTGCAACTTTTTCTTTTTTTTTTGGGATTTGAAGCTGGGCACTTTTCTGTTAACTTCCTCAAAATCTGCCGAGACTTCTGTTTCTGCCAAAACATGCGGAATCTTCGAGACGCGATACAAGGAATATTTCCTACCGAATACACTTGCTCGAGCTCCACTACAACTGCCACAGTGCTCCGGACACGTAACACGTTGTGAGACCTCGCATCGAGTAGAGAGCTCCACACTTACCAGAGAAATGCATGATGTACACAGGTGCATAACGGGCAAAATCAAATGCGATGCTATGAGCATGAACTCGTCTTGTGCTGTCAGGCGAACGATACAATGACAATTCGGGTTGAGTCAAACATCTTGATATTTACATTCCGATCTCCTACTAGATCAAAACTTGACAAAAGTGAGTATCCGTAACGACCGACCGTCTGTTCTAAACTATGATACAACGCCTAACTATTGGCATCGCCTGGCAACCATGACTGGTCGGTCGGACGTTCGATCCCTCAACATTCGGGAGAGCCCGCCGCCCTCATGCGCATTTGCTTGCTTATCATCTACCTATCGATCAAATCGATCAATTTCAGATAAACTGGTTAACATAAGATGTCCGATAAACATTTGAAATGGGCACCTGTGACCCTCGGGGAATTCGAGGATCTTCGAAGCTTGGGATCCTTGAGATCCACAACTTTCTTCGGGGTCTTGGATGTGTCGATCGCACCAGACTTCCCGATGATTAAATTGGGTCTCACGGGCCGCGCCTGTGCGTTCGATTTAAAACTTTGCGACTTTCTCAAAGAGACATCTCTAGAACTACTCCCGTGCCCATCACTTCTCTGCACCTCAGTAACATTGGAGCAATCCGATTCTCCAGCGCTACTCTCGCTGCAGATCGGGCTCTTGCGATCGCCGCGCGCAGCAGCAGAAGCAGCCGCTCCTCTCATCGATCCTCCAGCAACATCGGCATGCGCCCTCTTGAGGCCATTGCCGGAACCCTCACGCCTGCCCGAGTCCTGACCACCGACTGCCGCCTTGGATCTGTCGCCACACCCACTCCCCCGGGACGACTCGTCCTTGCCTCTCGCGTCCCCAGGCTCTCCTCCCTCGCTCTTCACAGCCATCGCCACCACCGCGTTCGCACATCCGCCGGGCGAGCGCCTGCTGCTGTTCATCTGGATGCTATTATCCACAGTGGTCTCGGATTTGTCATCGTAGTCACCGATGCCCGGCGACTTCCTCGTCTTCGACACATGCCCACCCACCGATGGCGACTTCCTGGCGCCCAACGTCGGCGACGGCCCCCTCTCGCCCTCGTGCTTTCTCGCCGCGCCCGCGCCAGTCGACGACGGCTTCATGTGGTGACCGGCGGGATTCGGAGGTGCATGCGGTCTCTTCGACACAACGGGCTTCTCGTCGGCGTGGTGGTGACACGCTCCAACGGCCGGCGCCTTCTCGCCCGCGTCCGCGCCAACGGCCGGGGAGGCGCTGGCGCTAACGCTGGGGCTGGGGCTGGCGCTGGAGGAGCGCTTGGTGAAGGCTTTGACGGCGCTGTCGCAGCTGGGGCCCGATCGCTTGGCCTTCTCGACCGTGTCGAAGGACGGCGACCGGCTGCTGCCCTTGGCCGAGCCCCGGCTGCCCTGCGGCAGCAGATCTTCCATGTTGCGCAGCCCGGCGCTCGGAAGCCGCAGGGCTGCGCCGAGCAGGCAGTCGACGGCGGTCCTCCTCTCTGCTCCCCAGGTCGCGCCATTGTGGCTGTCGCGTTTGCCCGCGGGCGATGGCGATGGCGCCGCCTGCCTCGATCCGCCCGGAGTTGTCGTGCGGGGAGCTTCCACCTCGCACCAATTGCACAGCCCGATGAACCATCGCTTGCGCGGATTGTACGAGTTGCTGCAGTATCTGCCAGGAATTCGAGGCAGGCCCGAGCACAACCGTGAGCATTCGATCCGACACACAATCTCTCATTCACACGACTCTCGACTCAAACCAAATTTGTGCATATGCTGCGGCGGCCAATCGAGTGATCACTCGATTGAACCCACAAATCCCGTGCAGCTGCCTAGCCTATGCTCGCGGCTTGTCGTGGATTGACATAAGCCTTACCCTTTCGCTCAGATCCTTGCGGAGACAATGGTCAAGATGGTGGTCGACATCCAACTGTGGGAGCAGAGCCTATCTCGAAAAGTCTAACCCCTAGAAGATCGATATCCAGCGAATGATCCGTCCATCCAGCAGTCAGGCAGCATGAGGTTGGATGATAAAAGGTGAAGGAAGGGCGTACGTATGCTGAAGGCGGACGGAGCACTTGGTGCAGCGAAAGAGCTCAGTCTGAAACCCCGTGTCACCACACGTACTGCACTCGCCCATGCTCTCAGACAAGAACTCGGGGCCCTTGCCATCCTCGAGTGTGATCCTATCACAGTTTCTCAGTATAACAGAACCATCGTCGCACTGGAACTCTGGCGGAATCACCAGGGAAACGTCCAGACGTGGCTTCTTGAAGAGAGGCTGCTCCTCTCCATTCCTCGCGCTGGGCCTAGCGCTAGGGCTGCTGCTGTTCGAATCATTCATCTGCCTGCTCCCCGCCTCCGAGCTACTCTCGTCCGTCCCTGTTCGCGACTCTACTCAGCATCACCTGTCTTTCACAGCGTCTTCGCCTGCCTGCCTGCTTCCGAGCTGATCATTTCGTCTCTTCAGTTTCCAACGCACTCTATCAACCGTGGTTGTCACCGTGTGAATTCATGATGATAGAAGAACGACCAAGACATTTGATGAACAGTTGATCGGAGCAGACCTACTTCTATTGCATAAATGAACTCAAAGAGGTGTCAGGCAAGTGCCTTCCCAGTCTAGAAATCTCACGAATTCCAGTGTTGGCAATATCCGGATGCCAAGACATTCCTTCCTTGAGAAAAAACTTCGGTGCTCACCTCAGTAATCAACTTCTGTACTGTACATAGCAAGACGGAGCACGATCCACATTTCTGCAGCAAGTTCAGTTTCCCATATAAAACTTCATTCCCATACAGCTCCGGTTGCAAAACAAAACAAGAAAATTCCTCAAGAGAAAGGTGAAGGGGACGTGAGCAGTGATGTCGGAAGTGGCCTGGAGCATCAAAAATCAACAAAGAATTTCGCTGGTGACCCCAAGACCCAGAGAACGTATGGAACGTGAAGTCACTCGAGACTTCGGTCGACGACATGAGACACTACAGAAGTAAATCCGGCACGTAAACATTCAGAGAACAAAGTACATTACACGCAAAATCTCGTGGAGTGTCGCAAAGAAGCAACCACATGTGTAAGAAGGAAGTAGTCATCTGTGGCAGGAAGGAAACCGCAATTCATTTCCAAAGCCACTTCCAGACTCGAGATGATCGTCTTTCTCTTAGTTCTCACAATGACTTGAAATCTGACAACTTTGCTCAGATTCCAGTGACTCCAAGCAGCACTTGCACTTTTTCTTCGTACGATTGAAGGCAATGATTCGGTTGCCGACTGAGGTCCAAATTCCTCCCGTTCATAATATGAAGCAAGGTGCATATTGCAGCCTTTGATAGCAATAACAGGATTCGTAGTGAAAGCTTCTAAGTTTTTAACCGAACGTCATATGTACATTGAATCTACGAACTCCTACCACTTTCACTCAGAGACACTTCACGTGCAGCACATGAGAAATTAGTTCTTCGGATGTTACAGTGAGGAATTCAAAAGCACAAAACTCTTCCTCTTCGCCGATGAGTCATGCCATAGGTGTGAACAAGCTAGTTACATATACTTAAGTGTGCTATGTACGATGCAACTAAGACAAACTCCCCGATCTTACCTCATCTGTTCCAGAACCCGAGAGAAATGACCAACGAGGCACACGAGCTTCAATATGAATCCGGATGCTCAGCACGTTCTAATCTCTCCAATAGAACACCGCAGCACATCACGACGAACACTGCAGAGCAACGCGCAAAAACGCAACCATCATTCAACCAAATCTGCAAAGAGATCCCGAGCATAGCTCTCACTAAGAAGCCTGATCCGTGAGAACCGAAACGCAAAACCTGAAAAAGATCCGTTCAGCTAATCGAGGCCACGGAAACTAGAAGCGATCTCCAAAACTCCACGATAGGACCAAAGTGGAGACTAACAGTAAACGATCGCATAGCATCTGACTTGAATAAATTCAAGGACGACCGCAGCTCCCTCGAAACGCATCGCGTTCTCCCAACAGATCCTACCTTCTCCGGAGCGACCCTTGCACATTGCACAGCTCTGCTCTTTCCTCCATCACCACATTCTACCTACTCTACGCCCCTTCTGCTACTCCTTATGCTGTATCGCTAAGACCGAATCTCCCGAACCCGGCACCTCGCCACAGATCGCCTGCTTCTGCTCTCTCTCTCTGACTCGCGAGCTAGCTAGCTCGCTATCTCGCTCAATCGGTAGATCGTCTCGCCCAGAAATGTCTGGCTCAGCTGTTCTCTTTCGCCAAGGATCGATCTTTCTCGCCTCGACCGAAGTCGATGAATCTGCTGCCGAGGTGCAAGTAAGTAGACACATGAAGAGGCTCCCGGTCGATCGTCCCCTCCCCTGGCTTGGCCTGCTCCGCCCTGGCCCAGCTTCAGCTCCGCAAGAAGAGCGAGCTGCGATGCATTTGGTCTTCCGTGCTCCCCTTCGTTTGGAGTCTTCCTCACGGAGAAGCCGGGCGCCCCTTCTTCTTGAGCTCGAGGCCTGCGGGTCCGCGCATACCCGGAATCCGCCCCAAGATTCTTCCCGTTTTCCCGGCGCGCTGTCGTCGTTGGATTTCTCCATCCAGCGACACATGAACGAGCTACTGCCCGCGATCATGGTTCTCATCTTTTCCACTTTCCGTTGTACGCACTCATATCCTATAATTAATCTATACCTCTTTTCTTTACTTCCCTCTGGCGTAGCAGGAGAATATTAACCATGGAGCAGGACAAGAGGAAAAACACAATGTGTACTTTTTTTTCTCATGGGTCGGTTCATGAATCTACAATTTTTATGTATTCCTAAAGCGTGATATTGGTATTAGATGCATGATATGACTTAAACCAATTTGTATGTGATATGATGGCCATTCAATATGTCAAGGATGTGGAATTTTTGATGGCATATGTAAACGGGTACCTTACATGAAGTGTGAAGTGTAAAGTTACTATGCCTTGCACTAGGGTTCTGGCAGATCTGATTGATTGGTTTGAATCTTGATAAAAAAATTCAGGATAGAAGTATAGCTATTGAAATTTATTTTAGATGTTTACATGAAACAAGAAGCGAATGATCTAAATTTCGACCATTTACAAAAACATCTAAGAAAATGAATTCTATTCAAATTCATTATAAGAAAGATGTTTACGTTGCAATGATGAGTACAAATTTAATATATGATTTGTGCAATATATATATATATATATATATATACACACACGTTGTGTGTATATACATATCCTTGCAACTAATTAGTTTTTAGGCATGACTGTAAATGATTTGGAGCATCATGTATATATTGTTATTAACATTAACATTGTGATTACATTAGAGATACCTGATTCTTGTGTGTGTGTAAATTTAACATATGTGTTTATCTTGAAGTGAGAATTTCGTCAAGGTTTTAGATAGGTAGTGAAACATGAAAAGTCAAAATATGATCACATAAAGATGTGTAATGAGTTCATAATTTCAATTCTGTACCTTGGAGTTATGGAATTTAATTTTTTGACAAGTTAGTTGATGATTAAGGTAAAATCTACAATATCCATGACAGATCAAAATTTTAAACTGATCTATGAGCTATTTAATCGTATAATTAATGCATGACCTATTTTGATACTTCTTCACAGAGTGCAACAACTGGAGCGAGACTTGAGCAAGGAATGAAGCTAAGTGATGATTCTTTTGACCTTTATGTAATATACTAGTGTAAACAATTCACATAGTTCATATATCTTAGCTACAACAAAACATAAAACATTGTGATGCTATTGTGGCCTACTACAGTTTAACCATTTGGTTTCACCAAAAGAGTACTCGATGGATCTTCCAACTCTTCATGATATATATATATCTCTTCTCATCATGCACTTTCTAGACTCTACTTGCATTGTAGGGACAGTAAAAATTAAAATTCCAGCAGCGAATCAAGGTCAATTATGCTTCAAAATTCAGAAAGTGCACCGGACTGTTAGATAACACTAAAGATGAAATGCGTGTAGGTTTGGAAGATTCCAAGGCAAATAAATTAAAAACAAAACCTCTTGTTGGATTCAACTACTAGCACTAGGTCACATCATCATCCAAACACTCGAATTTCTCGAGGCCAAAAGCAAAAGAGTGTAGGTAAGGGGACAGAGCGCAGAGGGCTTTGACGCGAGAATCCATCATCAATAAGTCTACAGCCACTCACTGTCCTGATAAAAAAAATGGGCCTGTGTTCGAAATTCCACAAGCAGGAACTATCTCTTTGGCCATCGGCGACTGGGGTACCTCCCCGGACGCCCGTTGATTGTTGCATCATTATGCACCTACTGATTTCCCAACAGTAGTCCGTCGGACAAACCCGTGCCGAAATTCAACACGTTTTATCTTTTTGACCCCTTATTGGTAGCCGCGGGGCGAGCGAGCTGCAGTGGAGCTATGGTGGGGCCCACGGGCATGCCCTAGCACGGGGGGCCCGCAGAGGCTGTCTGTATCTTTCGCCGGTGACCGGAGTTGCGAACCATGGGTAGATTCCGCCACTTTTGGATCCTGTACAGAGTTCCACGACCCGGCATGGCCATCGAACCCATCGCCCATCCATCGGGTCCAGAGGATGGTATCAGCCTTTGAAATTACATTAGAGCCGAGGGCTCTGCCCCCATGTCAGGCCTTGGACGGACTCCGCCGGAGTCTAGGCTCGCTTTTCTGTCCTTCCTTCCGCGCTCCCCTCCATCCACCGATTCGCTGGCTTGCCCCGTACGCCACCGCGCTCGCTCGCTCTTCTAAAAAGAAAGATGCACGAAAAGAAAAAGACGGATGCATGCATGCATGCATGAAGGCAGGGAGGCAGGCAGGCGGGCGGGCAGGCAGGCAGGCATGCCCATGGGCTCGCCGCTCTGCATGGATGATTGCGATGAGTCTCGAGGGGCAGTGTGGTCTAGTCAGCAGCGGGGGGCGTGGTGGTGGTGGACGTAGTTCGTGGACCACACAAGATCCGCTGCAGGTCGAACCGAGCAGGCGACGAGGACTACTCGTGGTGACGTCCGGATCACGCATGGCGATTCGGAAATGATTAAAGAACCCGCACTTCCTCTCTGCTCCCGATTCCCGACCGTTCCGAAGGCCTTGCGTGGGCCCCACAGCGCTGCTTTTGGCGACCGCTGCAGGGGAGGGCTGTGTCCCATCCAGTCGGTATAAATTCACTCATCCGGCTCCTCTTCCATCTCTCTCTCCCTCTCTTTCTCTTTCTCTCGCTCTATCCACAGAGAGCTCGGGGCTCTCCGGCCGGAGCTATGGCTTCTCTTGCGCCTGCGGGTGCCGAGAGATCGAGTGATGGAGCGACTGAGCCGGAGGATTCCGCTTGCTTGCTCGCAGGTGGATCACTCGTCCTGGGCATCTGAGCGACTTTCGGAAAGGCCTTTCTTTCTCATCCGCCTGTCACTGGTCTCCGACCAGACCCAGGATTCTGCGATTTGGCTCCCTCTGCGACGGTGGATGTCGAGGCTCGTAAGAGTGATGTTTCACGAGCAGAAGCCAGTTGAGACAAACGAGATGTTACTGTCTTGTCGTGAGTTTTTGCACTCCTGTCGAAGCACTGCCCGGCGGAGATCGTCGTTACTCTCGAGATCCACCATTCTAGTCGACTGTTTCATTCTGCCCCGACACGTAATTAGCTAATGGAATTTTCTCACATTAAGTGTGGCTCAAATGCACGAGAATGAAACTACAGCACGCAGGCAAGAAGAGGAACTGTTGGAAAGGCTCAAATGGCCTTCAACACATTCTTTTGGCAATACTTAACTACGAAATCCCTGGCCATCGTCCTTACCAAAAGCCCTCTTGACAGAATATGGAAGAAAAAAGTCTATGCACCATGCCACTGAGTAGTCTCTGACACAACCTTTCCGTCTTAGCCTTCGACGTCAGGTTCTCAGCTTTCAGGGGTTGATTTCGGAAAGGAACATCTCTATCGCCAAGATTCCATGAAGCGATGGCCCAGGACGTCCCACCACAGTGCTTCTTGTCTTCCCTCATGATCGTTAAACTAGTACCGGACAGGTCCCTCACTTATCTTAAGAGCGATTGATCGTCTCCCTACCGTACGCCAACCTGAAAATCGATGAAAATTACACACGATGCCAGCGAGATTCAGTCATCCATGCACAGGACAGCTGCGGTTCAACTGCTAAAGCCTGAACATGTGCCGCAGGCATGTGACTTTCTGACATTGATGATCAATGGCAAAAGTCAGCGGGTGCCTGCGCTTGTGTTATGCGAGGATGAGTTCATGGTGCTCATCGATTTAAGGGCTGAGGCAATCGGAAACGAGCTCGGACGCACTCCCGCCCGCGAAGCGGTTGTAGAGGGCGAATGTTGGCAGCGAGAGATATGGGGACTCGATGGACATGACATTTTTCGTGCATGTTACGAACTCAGACAAGACCTGTATCGACAGGTGCCGGTTCTTCCCAATCCACTCGTGGTGGCCGTGGTGGGCTTCATCTCCTGTCCATTGGCTCTGCTGATTGGACTCAAATACGCATCTCACCAAACACAGAGAAGGCCAATGCTACCAAGGCCAAAGCTGCAGACAATGGCTTGCGAAGGCAACCGCGCGTCTGTTTCTGTCTTCAGGGTTCACCCCTCCTGTGCGTTAGCCGATCATGATCATGGGCGGGGATATACAATTGCCATGTACCCGAAGTCAATTTGCGCGGCGTCGCTCTGTACTGGCGACCTATTATCAGCGCAGACTCGCACGGGGCACGTCATAATTTCACGCGGGGAAGGACGTGACTTGTAACACTGTGCTGTGCCCCACCAATCTATGCATCTATCGATAGGGTACGGTGCTACAAGTCTGTATGGGAGAAAGATCGCTGTCGGGAAGACATTCGAGATCAGGCCGGTACTCAGTCTGTTGATTGAGACTTTTGGAAACAATTGAGGAGTAGTGTTCACTGGAGTATTGGTTCTCTTGTTGCCCTCGTTCGGTACGGGTGCCTGTGCTTGTGTTATGATCACAAGATGTGCTCGATGAAAACTTAGGGCTAGCGCATTCTCTTGATCTTCAAGAATCAGTCACTGGCAAAGGTTCCGCTAGCAGGCTTGGAGGGTACTATAAGATCAACAGAAACCAAATTTTCAGATCGACCTACGTGCTTCACCAGGTACGGTACGGTACTCTAATGTCCAGATTTCCCATAAATTCGGAATTGTTGATGGAAGCTGGAATCTGCTCCTGCCTCCTTTCTGCAGACGGGCTCAGACCAAGACAAGGGTTACGTTAAGTCAAAGGGTTCGGAAAATAGAAATGGCACCGAGCAGATCCATCCTCCTTCGTGTGGGGATCGCCATTGTAGAAAACGAATCGAACTCCATGCAGTGCCATGCAGCATGCTGTGATTCGAAGAATCGTCAGAGAAACTTTGGTTTTTGAGCTGAAAGAAGGCGGGCTTCTTCTGTACAGTTGTGGTCTAACCCTACCTCCGAGTGGGTAGATCGTCTACTGTTTGTAAGAAATGAATACGACGGTAGGTGTTGAGTGCTGCAAGTTAGCGAAGTTGTGACACTTCGCTTGTTGGGTGACCGAAGTCGACGGGTGAATGTTGTGGTGTTGATAATTTGAAAGAATCCGCACGTAGAGACAAGAGTGAGGGATGTAGTTTTGTTGGAAGATTTGGTTATGACTTCATCATTGGACTCGAAATGTGGAACTTGTGGAGCTCCTGCCCCAAGCCATACGGCAAGTGGGTTACCTGCTGTGAATGGTAGATTCTTCAGCTACCAGTCAGAGGACCTGCTACAAAGTGTACGATTCCCGATTAGTTTTTGTCTCTGCTCATCCAGCTTTATTTTGGTTATTTTTGGTCTGGTCTAGATTTGATGGTTTTTTAAGCCAGTAAACTCTTCACGAGGTGCCCTTGATGGTCTTACATTGTGTAGTTGAAGCCACGCAGACGAAGCTTTTGTTGACGTAAAAAGGCTAAGGTTCTTCTTTCACATCGTGAAGTTGACATCACATTCCGTCATTGTTCTCGTAGAATACACAGTATACGAGGGCAATGACTGAAAGTGGCCACACACGGTGTTGGGGATTCAGAGTGTCATTTAATCCTTGGACCAGGGAAAAAAAAGGATAACTCAATCGTTAGCATCCATACACACAGTCAGATACTTTCTCTGGTCGTCAACGGATCAATTTCACTAGAACATGCTCGAAATTTCTAAGTGCTGATCCAAGCTTTCCGCTTTTACTGCTCTTTGAGTTCACTTTAAGGACACAGCCCCAAAAGTTTACAGATGCATGAGCTAGTGAAGGTCTCTTGCTGACAACTAAACGCCCCGAACTAACCTTACTGATGGACTGAATTACCTGCAAGAGATCGTCTTCAACCCCTAGTAGTTTTCAGTCCTTTGCCAATCTTCTTCCAATCTTAACCCTTCTTTTCCAATCTGAAGGGTGCCACTAGTTGTATAAGAAGCAGTAGAAGCACTCATCACAGACCCATCACACTGACTAATGAGACGGGTCTGTGATTTTCGGGCTGTCGCAGACGAATAGTTTCTGTAGATTACGATACCAAGCTGGTTTGAAATTCCCGATGCACGTAGTTTTGAAGCAGACATTAGAGTTTGCAAAGTAAGTCGTCTTTACTTCGGAGAGTGAAGGCTTTCTTATCCTTCCAGGTACAGTACTCATCAGAAATCGCAGAAGCGTGGAAGACTGCAGTGGAGGGAGGGCCCACAAGGCGACGTAGAACGCGGAGCACACGAGTCTCATCGTTGTGCTTATGAAGCAGATGAACGAGGAGGGAGAGTGGATAGTCGCCAAATTCGACATTTGACATATCATCATCATATTGCGAATGGATATTAAGATTGGATCGAAGCTTACTAATACCCTCTCCATCATACATCATTCAATAACCTTCAGTCTACTGTACGCCCGACTAGCCAGTCGGGCAACTTGACAATGACTGTACTAAGCAGAGTATTAATGTATACATCGGTTTTATATATCTCGGTTACAACGAAATAACGAATGTGGCCCTATGTACTAGAAACACCACCAAGGCAATGTTCATATGCGCAGCGAAAGAGCCCAGTAGTGAAAAGGATGCTGTTTATTGATGCTACTTTCGACGGGAGACCACATGAGATAATACTCACAAATACACTTACCAAAAATATTAAATATTATCGTTTTTCTCCACATGTTTTTCCTCATTATAGATCACATATTATCTTTTGATTTTAATCTTAATATCAAAAGGTTAGGTGGCCCTTTATTTACAATAAAATCATCTCATATGTTTTTCCTTACCTGATAAATTTGCCATATGAAGATTCATGTAGTATTCAAAAATATATTTCCACAAAAACAGCTTTTAAGATACATAGGGATTATTATTAAAGGTCATTTTGACCAAGCATCAATTTTTCATTTAATGCATAAGTAACAAGAGCTATTGAAAAATGTGGATCCAAGCTTGATTTCTGTAATTATATATCATTAAATCATCATTAAGAAAACTGATAACCAAGTCACCACCCATAGTCAAAAAGTCATGCCAAATTTTTTGTAAACTAACTGATCAGAAAAACCTACTTGCAGTTATTTGCTACACCCCTGTCTCTTATGCTTATCGAATAACCAAACTTGCAAAAATGTCACTGCATCTATTGACATGGACTAGTATATTTAAGGATTAAACCTCTTGAAATTAAGAAAGTTTATTCTGCATTGTTCTATATACACAACTACATACCTTTAAATAAGAAATTTGAGGTTCTTTAAGAAATAGAAAATGGTGAAAAACAAATATCTGAGTATATTATATTGTGTCTAGACACAACTTTGATCAAATGATTATATTTTTACTGAAAAAAATTGAAAAGTAACATTTGATTTGATAACTTATTGTAAAATGATTTGAAAGCTCGCATAAAAAAAATTCTTTTAAATTTCAGATGTTCATTAAACTTTGAGAGGTTTTTTTTCACTTATATGAGTAAAATTTAGGTTAGAAAGGTTAGAGCTTGAGGTTATAATCATGGATGGTTATTGAAATTGATCATACTAAAAAGTAGCAGAACTGTGATAATGTTACAAGTTTCATATGTTCTCCTTCTCACACATCAACACTAGTTTGCTTCATCATGATATATGTGTGTGTGTGTGTGTTTTTTTTTTTTCAAATATCAATTTGAAAATATTTTTATGTTGTCAATGATAACTCTGGAACTTACAATTTTTTTACTAGATGATAATGAGTTGATTACTTTCTATACAATGTTTAGTTTTGTTGAATACCATGGAATTGAAGGTTGAGGTAGTGACAAATTTCAATATGTGAGTTACAATTCATCATTTTTCCAAAAATTTAAAATATATATACTTAGATTTAATTCTTTGAATTTGATAAAAGTAAAAAAAATCAAGATATATAGCCAATATCTAATAAATTTTTTAATTATAGTTTTCATGATAAGAAAAAATTAAAAATTTGAATAAATTTCATATGAAATCGTTATATAATTCATTATAATGTAAAAAAATTCTACATTGCAATGCATTTGAGATTTGAACCAATGATATTTTTTGAAAATTTTCCATAGCATTATATGAATACAATTTGTAGATTTCATGATAAATAAATTTTTTCAAAAATCGAAATCAATATGCTATTGAGTGTAATGTCATTTTTGGATAAATTCAAAAGTTAATACATTATCTTTAGTGATTTTTTTTCAATTCTTTTAAATAGAATATGAAAAATGATTGTTAACTTGATGCAAATTTTGTTAAAGAATTAAATAATGAAAAAAAATTGTTATAAAATTTTCAAGATTTTTGCTAGTATCAAAATCTTGCAATGGGTACCCAATACCCACCCTCATCCATAGGAGAATTACCCATCCATTCTCCTATGGATGGGTAATAGGTATGGGCTTGAACGCATGAATAGGTACTATCCACCCATTTAACTGAGAATTACTCCTCTGTCACTCAATGTGTTGAATAAACCTCAAAAGTATTGATGTTCTCAACTTCCGGAAGACACCCATCATTATTTTACCTCCATACCTTGTTTCCCATTATCATTATTGTCATCTGCACAAAAAGAGAGTGAGAGCGAAGATGAAGGAGACACCGATGAATATTCCTTCATTTTTGCCCACATAGTTTTATAATGATTAATTGTGCATCGCCCTTTTGGATACTCGGAGTAAAAATGATTAATTATGGGATATATTAGATATTAGGATTACACATCAAAAATGTGATGTGAAATCTTGTCTCATAAATTAGGGTATTCTCTGTTCCGTAGTTAAAGGCTTTTTTATTTTCTTCATCAATTTCATAGAATGTTAAGTAATCTTGGATCTGAAGATAAAAAGGTGAAGAGCAAATGAGAGAAAACTAAGATGATTGCGTTCTCATGCTGCTTAGGTCCGCAGTACTCTACTCTACTTTTACTTATTTGGTGGAATGTGTTTAAACTTAACTTCTGAAGTACTTATATGAATCAAATTATCAAATTATGAATCAGTATGAAACTATTTACAATAAATCATTGGCACGTTACTCGTTGTAAAAACAAATCAAAGTACTCTTAAGTAGATGATGGGTAAGAGTTGGGTGGACATTGGACCATGGATGGATACCCTCGCGCAACTGTGGTTCGGATATGGGTACAGTCGTAAGCCCATTGCAGGACTCTGGTTAGTATCAATTTAAGTCTCAAGGGAACTATATTTAGAGTAAGGTCTAGGTTTAATACTATTTGGGATTAGGTTTAGCATTTCTACTATACATTACATACAAGAAAACGAGCCATAGGTTGCATTCAATATTGGTTAGATTTCAATTAAACCTTCTTGTTGGACGTACAAGAGTCACAAACCATGGATATGTTAGCAGCGTTGGCGTGTGTATTTGTGCTTGTGGTTTCTGGATTTCATAGATTTTTTTGATTCATGATACAACAACTTTGAGGTAGTTAATTAATTTATAAAAAAATTTGAAAGCATATATATATTTTCTTCTATATGCATTGATATGTATTGTGATACAATGTAAGTTTAGATAAATTTTTCCGGATTTACAAAATCTAGCAACAATAGATTTTCCATAAAGCCATAAAATATATTGTTTCAATATATTTTATGGCTCAAAATTACTTATCAAACTTTGAGCAAGCTTAAATAACAAGATTGGGAGATCTAACACTTACAGTCTTAATCTTATAATAAACTGACTGAAGTTTTTTCAAAGGAGACAGGAGCAAAACACAAATCAAGAAGATTGTTAAGCAACCATGTACTTTTTGAATGAAGCAACATAATTGGATAAAGATACAATAAAGCATAGGTGAGCTTGTTCTTCATTTTGAGTCCAGACCTTATTTCAAAGTTCCCACACTATCTTATTGATCTAAATCTACGAAACGAAAAGTGTGTTTCATCTTAATAAATGATTTGAAATATCAAGGAACTCTAATCCCATATACTACATCAATTTTGTCCCTTTGCAATGATCCTTTGTGTATGTGTGTCTCGTGATCCTCCCCAACTTTGAGGAAAAAAATGCCTCCAGTAAATACATAGTCCTTTGCCGGTACAACTCAAAATCGGTTGCATCCTTCTATAAAGGTCGACAAAAGATTAAAAATATTTACTCCTAATAATCTCCACGACGAAATTCATAGATAGCCGACGGTAGAAATACATGCACCGGAAACACAAAACTTCCCCGCAAAAACACTAGTTCTGTGTCACAAAGAGCCATAGCCATCCCTCTTCTGTAGCAGTTGTAAACATATATGAAGTTGCTATATCCTTACTGAAGTGTCTCATCCGATAATATACACATAACAACTGATAACAATATAGAATAACATCTTCCCCATATATTTTAGCCCTGTTCTCAAAATCTCCTTACAATATTTCATGGAATAGTCATCACATTTATAGATACCCAAGTCCTGTACTCGCTGAGTCGACGAAGAGATGAGAGTGCAAGGGGTGTGTTGTCGTCAGCATGAATTTTCTTTCAGTTTTTTTTCATGTGAATTTCTCGTTGATTTGACATTGAGATTTTATTCCGCCATATGTCTAAGGGTATGGGTACAAGTGACAGGTAGTTTCTGTGAAGACAAAGTGCTTGTGCGCTGTGGAGCCATGCTATCGGGGCGTAGCCCCCTTCTTACCCCTTGGGTTTGTCATGTAAGAATTGATGGGCTCTTCTCATCCTTTTTGCTTCTTGGTAAAGTTTCCTGGTTGCCTTTTCCGGCAATGCTCCGAAGAATTCACGAAAATAGCAAGGAATTATTTGATGGGACCCAGGGAAACTCAAAACATTTATGGGACCCATAAGTTTTCATTTTACCCGATAGGATTCCATGGACTGCCCTGCATCCCACCGTTAGTGATGTTCCAATACGATATGTAATTGTTCCGGGTAGGAAGATGAAGTCACGACAAGATCATATCGGGAGTAATTCAGACTCATGGTGCCCTTCATGGCTAAGAACTAGTCTCCAAAATACTCTGACCGACAGTGGCAGACACTCCCACACTATAGAGAAAATTAACGATTTATAAGAACTTTTATTGAAATATGGTTGACGGTGGAGTGGATGGGGTAAAATGAAAACATTTGGGTCCCAAGAGCCCATCGAGTGATATCCTCGGACGCTTGAAAGAGTCTCAGGTTCGGACGTCATGCCTCGCATATCAAGGTCTGAAGGAGAGGAAGTGGGACTTCAAGGCAAAGCCTGCCGTGGCATAGTCGAGCCATTTCCTTATAACGAATGAAACTTATCGTTTGAGATCTGTTCCTCCTAACGGGCGTTCAAACTTGATGGTGGAAACGTGGCCGACTAGAGCCATAACCTCAATTCACGGTAGCTTGACCATATTGGCCGCACATGTCGAGATGCAGGAACTTATATTAGTGAAGATTTGGTTCTAATTTCAAGAGCTTACGAGTCTAGAGTGCTAGGTTGTAACAATTAAGTCTCTACCCGGGCTATATTATTAAGTTGAATGTGGTTAGTAATGTATTAGGATATTGATACCTGGATTTCATATACTTTCACGAGATATATAAACTAATACATATAATTTGATCTTAATTAACATTCACAGTGATAAACATCATAATACTTGTATGTCAAGAAATTTGCATTTCATATTGTCAAATTATAGTCACATAAAATCAATGTTAATTTTTCCTGTAATGAATCTTTTTTACACCATAAACTTTGTGTCAAACTCTCTTATGTAATGATAATAAATAATTTTCACTAAAATAAATATATATATTTTTTTGCCGCTGGGCTGGTTGTTGTTCGCACCGTCTACGTTTTAGCCAGAATTAAATTTTTTACATTTACTCTTAAAACATTGAACTGATGATACCTGATAGTCAAATCCCATCGGTTGGTATTTTTGAGATAAATTTTTTAATATTAAAAATCTTGATGTGGAGTAGATGGATCTCTTGGTATGATATCCCTAACGACAGAAAGTAACGTGGACTCTCTTCCATTTGGGTATTAATGTATCAGTCAAGACAGATTATACACCAACGACCATGACTGTACCTCCTTCCACAATATAATAAAGGCATGCATGATATTCTTCCTATATTCAGTCGTAGTAGTTAAACCGGTCATACGAAAACAATGCTTTGGGTTTCGTTGTAGTTACCTTCCTGATATTATTCTTGCTATTCCATCCGATTGATCCGATCAGATATGTCCCTTACGTATGGAAGAATGCAGTAAGATCATTCTACCACAGTCCATAACACTCATCATGCTCACTATAAACCAACGCCAAGACCGGTCTTCGAATTTGTCTTCATAGAGAGAAAGCATTGGATGGGGACCATCGTCTAGCGCCTCACATCAAAGTGTGTAGGTCAATGTTGAAGTACTTCGTGAACGTTTCTCAGCGTCACAATCATTCCATGTTAGAGATCCGCCGTGACAGAGTTTAATCTAGTGCACATCTGCCACATGAACCACAATCACAGCCCTGAATCATATAAACTCCCTCACGTCAGCTGGCTTTTGGCATACGAAAGAACTATTCTAGATTTAGCTTGGAGTAGGAATCATATGGACAATGTTTTCCCAGGAGGCTAGCAGTTGAAGTCATATATTACAACAAGTATTTTGAAGTCATGAAGGAAGACTTGCACTGGAATAGACCTATACATAGAATAGAGAACTATGTGGTTACACAGATGCGAATCTATACATGACAAAATGTGAATTTATTACTTGTGAGTATCGGAAGTTTGCTTCTTATACATAATATTGCTTCTACTTATAAATAGCAGAAACATCATACTATGAATAGGGCTCTGAAAGAAAGTTCAATCCTATGAGAGCTTTAGATGTATGAAACAACCCAAACGTCACGTAGTTTTTATATATACATGTAATCACACACTCACACTTGTGGTCAAAGGTCAATCACGAATTATACCAAAAACGAAATGGTTAATGGTTGAAAATTGCCGGGTTCAAAGAGAATTATGGTAAGTTCTGAGGGTAGAGTTATTACGCAAATATATACATATAAGTAAATAAAGAAGAGATATACTGTGATAAATATGTGACATCAATACGGACACGAAGTAATGCAGTCAATAACGGTGTTTAGCTACCAGGCCAGAGGAACGACAGAAGTTAATGTCACAAAACTAATTTCGGCAAGTGCAGAGTTTTAGCTAGATGATCTATGAAACTTTAAGTCTCCGAACTAAGATATGCAAGTACAATGCTTTCCACGAGGGACATGCCTTATTTTCCTTGGCTATGGATTTTATAGATGCATGGGACACAAGGATATGATGCAGAGAATTATGTTAGGGCATGTGTGCTACTTTACCACAAGAGAGTATATGAGTATTTTGTAATTCATAACGTTCTAAATGTGTAAACAGTTAATTAAGTGCCCTTGAAGAATCAGTAGCTACAACACATAGGTGATGTCAGTGAACGGGATGTGTTCCAAGACTCTTAGGTCCACTAGACTTGAGTCAAGGGTGAGATAGAGATCTGGGAGAAGAGGGGCCATTATGTTCTCATTCTCTTCGGCCTGGGCAGTAGTTTGGCTCATTTCTTCTTCTTGCATATGTCCAGGAGTTCTGTCATCTGATGACAGGATCTACTCCCAACGGTGGGTTGGGCCCCTTCTGGGGAAAGAAGACGAAGAAGGATGATGGGACGAGAGACCGTCAGGGAGGCGTTAGGTGAGGGTCAACGTCCCGTGGAAGAAGGGGCTGGTGGGCAGATGCGACCAGCACCTGAGACCTCAAGGGGCTGAAAATCATGGCATCCATCGATCGACTGCAGTTGTGTACTGTCCAATGTTTGAGGCAGTTTGCATGCATGCAGGCATGCAGAACGCACAGTGAGATTGCTCGGAGAAGCGCGGAGAAGAAGATTGCTCGCCGTTTGCTTGCAAGAATCTTGCATCGTCACGAGATTGGTTGCCGCGCATTAGTTTTATATGTTTCGTACACAGTTTGGTCACTGGAGGTGGTGCTGATTGCGGTTCCAATCACCGAAAGTGCGGTCATGAATTTGGAATTGGCCGGATCTCTCGCCTCGTCATACTCGATTGGTGATGCCAAATTTAGGGTCCGAGAGCTTGTGGGAGTTCCACGTGAGGCGATTTGCGGAATCGAGCCTGCGAGATGTATATCGAGCAGACGGAAAGCCTTGGGAATCCGGGATTGTAGTGTATATATGAGAGATGGAATCGTTGACGCTTCAAGCTTTTCTGTAATGACCATCATCGGTGCGAGCAGGAGCAGTGGGCGCAGCAGGAGGAGGAGAAAGCGAAGCCGATCTTCGTCATCATGCTCGAGGTTGACGATCTTTGACGCTGCTTCATTAGTCCCGACTGTCATTCGTCCGAGCAGAGGTCTCACATTCTTCGGGTGCACAAACGCGCACATCTGGAAGCTCCTTCCTTGGCTCGCTCACTTTCACTTTCATCCTCGAAAAATCCAACCTCGTACGACCTGATCGGATCGTAGGTCGTGGTTGACTTCTGGCATTAACAACAATCGACAATATTTCAGAGGAGTACGCAACACCCTGAGAATCATACAGCGCGGGCGGGATGCAAGGGCTGAACACGGGGAGGTGAGGAGGCGGAATCTCGTCGGTCCGAAGCCGGCCGGCCAGCCAGCTATGGTTGGTGGACTTTGGGACTATCGGCGCAAGTCAGGAGTGGCATGAGTCTGGGGCTGTTGGTGTATATCACCGTAGGAGCGTTGTATCTCGCCGTGCTGGTGGCCGTCTTTTATTTGATCGTCCAATTTGACAGGTTCTCTAGACTTTGCGTTGCTTTGAGTCGTGGGGATGACTGCTGCGGCGATGCGCAAGAGAGTCTCAGTCATTAGGAGCGCTTGCGAAGCCGAAGTGTGTGTCATTACGAATCTGTAGTTTGCGAGCTATTTGTAGCTCGTGCGAAGGACCGCAGAGGTGTCAGGCTTGTCAGACAGGGTGCGTAGGGCTGCAGGAAGGGGGCTCGTCTTGCATTTCGGGTGTCAGATTACTCTTCTTTGTGTATCTTCGGCGCGGCTGTAGCATCGGGAGTCTTCTGGTGCCCGAGGGATCTTCGAAATGATTACCAAGTTGTTCAACCTCTGCTTGCACCCGTCGACGTCTGGACCAAAGGCTCTGCAGGGAGTTGACCACGACAAGTTCGAAGCTTTCTACGAGAGCCTTGGGTCCAAGATAAACTCGTTGGAACATGAGCTGGGTCAAGACTCGCACTTTAGTCTAGCATGGATCCTGTCTGCCATGGATTTTGTCCGGTCGCTACACTCGAGTGTCTTCAAGCTTATCGAGGAGGTATGGCTCCCGATGCGAAAGACCGCGGGGATGGATGTCATCGAAACTTATCTCAATGTGAGCGTGAAGCTTTTGGAGATGTGTAATTACCTGCGAGATGGTGTCAGTCAGCTGGAGTATTCTCAGCTATCTTTGGAGCATTGTCTCATATCTCTTGGCGGACTGGTCGAAACGCTGGCGCATACAGAGGGCTCGGACGAATTTGTGGCCGTGAAGAAGCAGCTGGAGAGTTGCAGGCTTGAGCTGGAAAAGATGGAATCCAAGACAGCTCCAAACTTATGGGTGGAGATGATACACAAGTCGAAGGGATCTGGTGTCCAAAGTGGCAGTGGTAGGAAGAAGCAAGATGAACCGCAACTGTCAACCCTCGAAAGATCCTTCAGTGTTCTACCCTCACCCTCTTTCAGCAAAAAGGCATTCCTTATATCTCAGGTCATGCAAGATGTACAATTAGTGATTACCTTCGTCTACTGCCTTCTTCTGTGGGTTCTGACGGACACGTCCGAGCAGTTCAGTTTCGCATATGATTTCAATGCACCCAGTTTCGCCACTTGGAAATCGGACCTGTGGGCAGGCTCTCTCCTGAGCCTGAAGCATAGGATTGAAAATTCTGAGCTGAAGCATAAGAGATCAAATTGTTCTCTGTCCTTGAAAGAAATTAGACTTGTTCATGGTGCAGTTCTTGATCTCATAGAGCAAGTGGAACAAGGAGTGCAACAGAGCGCCCAAGCAGCTGAAACCAATCGATCGGAAACACTGCAGGCTGTGCTGGAGCGATCGAAAACCAGGCTTAATGATATGACACAACTTTCTGATAAGCTCTCTCTGGTAGCCAATGATACATTCTCGGAGATTCTCCACAGCCAGGAAAAGATAATGAATATTGTTGAGAATCAGCTGCTAAGATCGATCACAATCTAGAATCATTTGATTGCCAGAGGCTTCTGAACAACCTAACGCAGATAGACGGTAAAATCTTCATGTCCTTGTTCAAGTTTTCAATTTCATTTTCTAAATGCACTGTATGTTTAGGACCTGCTTTAACCTGTCAGCTGGAGTTATGCCTATACTGAAGAGTTTTGAGGCTGTCAATCCCGTTTGAGGGTGTCCTTACATGCCTCTGAGAGGAAAATTGTAGAACCTGCATCCAACTCTGATCCTGCCTTCTACTTTTGCCGTACAAGACAACAGTTTTTGACTGCATGAGTGATGTCAAGTCATGTAATGAACTCCTCGGACTAGAGAATCCATTAGCTTCCCATTTTTTCGTGAAGTTGGACCAGTTGCTGATCTTTCTATAAACAAAAGGGTTCCTTTCATTTACTCAAGTACTCCTGAGGTGTGCAGATCTTGTCGATCCACACATGCTTCAACCATCCTTCAGGCCATCCGAAAAGGGTCTGTGTTCTTTCACCTGGGTCGATTGTTCTGCTCATTTCCAACAGCTCACGACACTTTTTATTCGACGACACTATCAAGGGACCCTCGAACAGGCGCATAGGAGATGTTGAACGCTACATTGCTCGGGTGCCAATTTGAAACTCAGACGGAAATGAATTGTAACTATGCACGTGAGTTTTTCATTCAAGTTGTCAGATTTAGCTGAATCCAACTAAAGAAGCCTGGCACTGATGAGCTGTATAGATCCTAGGAGGTGAACACAGGGGCTAAATGCGATCAAGGTACTCTTGCCGGTGACCTTTTCCCGTTTTGATCACTGTATAAACTGTAGAAGACTAAGGTGACAACAGATAGGAAGACTCTGATCTTCTTCCCAGCTGAACTTGGGATTGTAATTGTATTTAGGAAGGTTCTCGTAGGATGTACATTGAAAGTCCCTCAAAATGTTCAAGGGACTAGTGTTCCCAGTCATGTATACTGTGTTTATATGGGAGTCGAAGAATGTCAGGACTGGACACTCTTTTACATTTTACATATAGGAGTTTTCATCAAGGGAGTGCTTATATTCTCCCACAAAGTACCTACTAAGCATGTGATATTCAAAGCACACCCTTGTTCGAATATTATGAAAGTACTTGTGACTCTTATGAATCGAATTAAATATCCAGAGTTTGAACAAGTAAGACATTTTTTAACAGGACTCTTATACGCAGGTTACAAGGGCTTCTGCAGGAATTGAGCATATAGTGTCGCATATAAAACCTACAATTTATCACTACAACGGGCTGTAAATGCAACAATAAATGTACTGATCTGGAACGATTGTTGAAAGAGAAATTGAACTCTAGAATGTAAATATTTTGTTAAACTGAGGGTGCTACTTATATTACAGGTGGTTGTGACTATATCTAAAACACAATATCCTTCATGGGAAAAAACGCAGTTATTTACACTGAAATTTCATTATCTTGTAAATTACTTTACCTTAAATTTTTATGAAATTTAGATTTTTTCACATAACCTTACTTCTAAATGTGAAAAAAAAACTTTGAAATCATGCAAAATTCGTCAGCTATAATATTGAATATTTCACAGATTTTATAATATAATTTGATATCTCTACCACTCAACAGTTCAATTTTAAACTTTAGATGAATCTAGTTAACTTAAATTCAATATATTGGAAATTTCTTTTTGACGATGGTTTCACTTGTATTCCTGAATATGTCACACAAACCTTGAAAATCATAACTTTATACATAATGTTAATCATACAATAGTCACCAATACCATAATATATATGATTAGCTCAAAATAATGAAGCCTGCATCAAAGTCAAACAATACATTGTCATCCAATGTAAGGGTTGTGCATCAAACTTTCATAACATTCATCATTGATGCATGTTAGTAAATTTGCATGTAGATTTAATGAAACAAGATGTTTATGTATATATTGGCTATCATCATTTTACATGATGAAATTTCACTAACATTCATTTGGACCCAATTGATGCTGTTAATTATGAATGAAATGATTAGAGCATATATGTGCAAATGCACATATGAAGCATAAAAAATATTAAATATTTAAAATAGTCATCCCATCTTCAAATTCTGACATTTGTTGATTGAATATCATACTATTCTAATCAATTTTTCACCAAGATGTCATGTCATTATCAGTTTTAATTTTAAGCACTTGGATAATGTATCAAATGATTTCAGTTAACTCTTCAAATGTAGTATATTAAATGACCATGCAATTATTATACGAATTTAAAGGTATTAAATCCAACTTAATAACACTTGAATTGTGAAACTAATCAAAGATCTTAAATTGGAAATTTACATGTGAACAAACAGCGAAAATTTTCCATGTTTTATTATTATTAAAGTTACATGATGGATAAGAGATAAAGTAAGAATCATACATGAAATACAACCATCTTCAAAATATTTGATTAAAGATATTTGAAAACAGAGAAATTAAATAATCTTCAGAAATTGCTAATTCTTGATGATACAACTTGGAAATTGAATATTTTTATTTATAAATGTATCTGATTCTGATATGTATTCGAAGAATTCAGTCAAACGCAATGTACATTCATATTCCATCAATTATCAATCTAAACATGTAGTTTAATAAAGTTCAATTCACATGTCTTTTTGGGTCTGCACAAAAGAAATAGACAATGCTTACAGTGTTACGAGATAGCCTTTTTATTTATTTGTACAAAGTTTGATATAGATAGCTTGGATATTGTCGGATATATTTCACACGTGATAATATTAGCCCTCTGTCTTTGTTCAAGGATTCGGTTTCATGTTTGTGCCCCGTTATGGTGTTTCCATACCTTTCTTTTCCACTCGGTATCATTTTTTCTTGTGTCAACACAACCAAGGCTCTAGGTCCAAAAAAACTATTCATGCGGGTTATTAAGGAGAATGCTTTGAGATAATAATCGTGGATTTCTTGTTACGGGCCAAGCAGCAAGAGTAGCTAAACTAGTTATAAATGCTATTAACAAAGTAAGTCCTACTGAAAATCCATCAATTTCTAACCTCCGATGAAAATTCATACAACTAATCCAATTATAATATTCTTTTAATAGAATTGCCAAATTCATGAGAGTGAAGCTCATCTAATTAATCTATTTACCGAATGCTTCGATATTTATGAACGCAAAATTTTTGGGCACTCACAGCACTGAACTGATTTAACACAAGAAAAGCCAGGGCTATCTATCCAACTGAAATCTGAGTAAGTCCAGCACTCAGTAGGGCTCCATGGCTGGGCATCGGGTAGGGCAAAGGTCGGGGCGCAACGCAAAATGTGCTTCGGGGTTTAAGCAGGCGGGGAATTATCTGTCGGGGACGCAAGATCTCGTGAATGAAGCGCAGAGGTGAAGGATTGGATGGCGAGCGGGGTGGAATTTCGCGGAGAGGTGGAATTTGGAGTCCATGAATGCAGCGCGAGGATTTGGGTCGGCTCGACTTAATGTGGGTTGAGGTTGTGCGTGTAGCATGTAGAGAGATGTGCTGCTGCCCTTCGTCAGGAATCGCAAATGACAACGCTGTCTAGATTGTCCACTGTGTCGCAGTTACCAGGTAATTGCCTGAGAAGCCTGAGGACGTTCAAGAGTAGATCAGTCATGCGGTCGCCCTTTTGCGGTGCTGCTCAAATTTCCTCCCTGCAGGTTGCGAAATTTAATCTGTTCGAGAGGTTGTCCATCGAAAGTGTCCCACTGTTCCATGGCCCGCCGACATTGACATCGACTTCGACGGTCAGTGCGAGATGCACTCAAAACGCCGGAGTGAGGTCTGTTCTTGAGAATGTGACTCCCGTTCATGCGGCACTTCAAACAAAGTCGGGAATCTTGCCGGCGCGTTTATTTTCTCCAGGTATGTGGTTTGAATCACCGCTAGATGTTGGCTAAGTGTCTTTTGCTTGCAACTCGAGTCTACCACAACTGTGGGAATTGGCAGAGATAAATGTTCACGGATGTATGTGTTTCAAATGCTTCGCTCGTTTCCTTTGTTAAAATTCACTGTAATTTTCTCGGTTTCAATGCAGACCTTGTGTCCAATTGTTCGATATTTATACGAAAGGCTTCAACACGATCAAAATCCAGGGCGGAGGCCATCGCTAGGCACAGTGTAGCTCAGCCATCCAATTTGGGAAACGATGAACCGGAGCAGTATGAGAATGAGCTCGTTGCTCGTGACCACGTTCTTAGGTATCTGCAGAGTGAAGGTATTGATGTTACGGAGCTTGAGGACGTGGGTCTTCCACCTTCCGTGGCAGTCATGAAAGAGAGGGTTACATTTCTTAGAAAAATTGGTCTGACCACAAAAGATATCAATGGATATCCGCTAATGGTTGGATGTAGTGTGAAGAAAAATCTGGTGCCTGTGCTTAGCTACTTGGAAAAATTGAATGTGGAGGCTAGATTTCTGCCCGATTTCATCAGAAAGTACCCCATGGTTCTGAACTCCAGTGTGGTGATGGACATGGAGCCCGTTGTGGATTTTCTCCTGGGGATAGGCATAGCCAAGGAAGCTCTCGGTAGGGTTTTGACTCGGTATCCTGATATCCTGGGGTTCAAGATCGAGGGTACGATGAGCACATCCGTCGCGTATCTCGTTAGCTTAGGTGTAAACATGAGAGAAGTTGGCCCCATGGTCACCGAGTATCCTGAAATACTCGGCATGAGGGTGGGCAACAACATAAAGCCCAAGGTAGATTATCTTCTTAGTCTAGGGATTCCGAAACAGGTCATGTCGAAGATTTTGGAGGTCAAGCCATTCATCTTAGGGTTCGATCTTCACGACAGAATGAAACCGTGCATTAGGGATCTGTTGCAGCTTGGTGTGAAGGAAGAGAACGTCGCACGGGTTATCATACAGTATGCCGATGTTCTGGGACTGGACGTCAAGCAGAGGCTGGATTCCAAAATGGGTTGGCTCACCAAGCATGCCGGCGTCAAGCGCGAGGATATTGGTCAAATCATCGAGAAGCTTCCTCAGATTCTGGCGATCAACATCAAATTGGCTCAAACGAGAGTTGATTTTTTGAAAGAGTCAGGCTTCACAGTCGAAGAGATAGGCTCTATGGTAGCTAAGTGTCCCCAAATTTTGGCCATTAGCATCGAAGAGTCGTTGAGACCTAACTTCGACTTCTTTATTGTCGACATGAAGAGACCTCCGTCGGAGCTTGTGGAGTACCCCTCATACTTTACGTACAGTCTGGAGAAGAGAATTCGACCCCGGTACATACAGATAGAACAAAGAGATATCAAGTGTAGTTTGCCTTGGTTCCTGAATTGTAGTGACGCCAAATTCGAAGAAAGGTTGCAGGTGGATTTCGTTGAGAGACCGGATGACGCCGAAACAGAGGATTTTTTCATCATGGGAGGACGCATGAAAATTAAAGGCGAGGATATGAAAGAAGCACTTGATAGTGACGACGACTTCGCCGAGAGTTCCTGAAGACTGTCACTTAACTTACGCAAAGGGTTGATCTTGCAGTCTTCTTCCTAAACCCTAAACCTTTCATAGTACATCTAACCGTGTATCATTAATATAAATGCAAATTGTCTCCACTCCAGAATTTTCACGATTCCATCACCTAACGCTGTTAGCAGATTAAGCGATGCCCTCTCTTTTATGCCATTTCCTGTCGATGCAATAATTGTACGAACTCGCATTGCCAAGACAATTGCACTCCGGAATTTAGTGCACGGTGTCGTTATTATGTTTTGGTAAGGTCAGAGAGCTTTGGACTTGCAGGTATAGTTCAACGAATTGTTAAGCTTGTTCACTGTCCAACTTCGATTCGCACGGTGTCGTTATTATGTTTTGGTAAGGTCAGAGAGCTTTGGACTTGCAGGTATAGTTCAACGAATTGTTAAGCTTGTTCACTGTCCAACTTCGATTCGCATCGTCGTTGAGAGTTTATATGTTCACAGGTCGGCGAATCACGTCAAAAGCTTTCTGAACCACGTGGCCCCAAGGGCCAGTGAGGTTAGAGTATTCGCCTTTCAGAATCTTCCTTGGTAAGAGGATTTGCACTTGCCACAAAGAGCCTGGGTGTGCACCCCACCCTCGAGGTCTCTCGGTTATAGTTGTAACAAAGGACTTACCGATGACTGGAAAGTCAGGGGACTGAATGTTGTGCACTGCACGAAGATCGAGCTTCTCCTTCCTTCTTCTTTCGTGAATCTGACGGTTCACAGGTCCAGCCTGGCACCACATCGTGCGATAGAGTAGATAGATGATGTATGGAGTTCACGAGAATCCACGAATGCGAACGCTTATTGTTGTAAACGTGGACAACATGTAGGCCGAAAATAGTTGACATTTCGTTGCAAAAGTCTGTTAGTAACATAATATTTGTCGACATCTTTTGTGTGACAGATTCCTCGCCGTTACCAAATGTGTAGGCACACGAGGATCAACGTTCACGAGGTTCGAACTCATCGACATCATACGTCTCATACCTCGAGACTGAAATCGCGAGTGGGCTCTGCCCGATGACCGTATTTTATCTTTTGAAAAATACGTATATATAGTAAGTAAAAGAAGTAGGCGTATCAACCTCTCCTTCCTTCAAAAACAGTCTTAGATTTAACCATATATTCGGACCTCACATTAATTGGAGTCCAGAAATTCATTACGAACCTGCCGGAGAAGAATCTATCCATTGACCGTGAAGGGGTAGATTTCTGTAGTTTTGTGTTGCAGATGCATCATTATGATCACACTTGCTTCTGTCCATTCATGTATATATCTATTATCCACAAATAAATTTATTACATGTATAGAGTTATATCACAGATGTTGCTTTTATCAAAGTTTCAAAGGCGGTTAATAATCTATTCTCATGGGTGCTTGACAAGGAGAACTGGTAATCCAAAAGTTCTAAATATAAGGATTTGCACGGAGGTCATTAGTTGTGAGATTACATAAAACTATGGACATCTATTTCAGCATGTTGGCAATGAAAGTTTTAAATACTTCTAAACTTAGCGGTATGCAATATCTTCTTGTTGTTTGTGATGTACCGTACATCTGCTAACATTTTCCATTATTATATGTAGAGCAGTATTTAGTAAAATCATTAGAGAAATAATCTGGCAGATTGATGTTCAATCCCATATTTGTGTAAGTTTTATCGCCTAGCTCAGGTTGAGCAATCGTTAGAATGATTGAATTGGCATTATCATTTGGGAATCCAAGGATTCATAGTCAGCATTTAATATGCAACCGAACAAGTACCATATTTAGTCCCAGTCCGAAATGTTTATATATTTAATCGTCAAGAGCAGTCGATTTGCTACAAGCTGGTGTTCTTCAATCAGTTTCTGAGAGAGATTTTGAACATTTTGATAAACGTTGTATCACATGGAATTGTCATTTATAATATGGATAATATATCTCTCAAACATTTTTCTTAGGGTATAGTCACAAACCTTGAAAGTTCCTTTATGATGTGACGTGTAGCTGAACCATCATCACATCCTCTGACTTTACTTTCAATATCAATACTGCCAATTTTTAATATATTATCTCCGAGTTGAATAACAAAACACTAAATAAGATACATAGAAATGTATAGAAGTGTCATACAAACATTCCCATCTGGATTTTATGGCAGTATGGTACGAAATGGTCACCGTATGTGTAATAACCCATATTTTGTAGTACAACTCATTGATTCACACGAAACACAATCTGAAGATTGTGTTTTCAATAACCATATTTAATAAAGAAAATGGTTATTAAAAGAAATGTTTCAGGCCATGCTAGGAAAAATGCTTACCACTTAAACTGCCAAGTGAAAAATACGGTGGTCTTGTCAACTTTGCCACGACCTTTGTCAATCGATACGGAGGATAAAGCGTAGACCCCAGGTGTAATGGATCCCAGTATTCGGTAATACATTGCAGTCATAGCAAGCACAACGTGGTCCATTCCAAGATCCGGAATGAAAAGGAACGCTCGAACTGGAAGAGAAAACAAAAGAAACAAAGGCATGAGACAAATTAACATTCCGGTGTCGTGAGCTTGACTCCACGAGACAAGGCTACAAGACAAGCCTAGATAGAGGGCGGAGTTCCGAGGTTGACATTCGGCATCAAACGCCCGAAGCCGAAGCCGGCGGGCGGCATCCGAGCGACCGAGTCGTCCGGTGAAAATTGTCGCCACGCGCAAGAAGAGTGCCCGCCGCGATTGGCGACCAGGCTCCTCGCCGTGCCGTTCCGTCCGTCCGTTTGTTTGGAGACGGGGTTGCTGCTATAAGGGGCATCCTCTCTCGAGGCCTGGAGTGCCGTAGACCTCCACCCGCGCGGCTGCTTCGCTCTGAAAAGCGCCGAGGTGGGCCCGCGTCCAGCGGCCCGTGCACGTGATTGGACGGGCAGGGCAGGTCAGGGCAGGTCAGGGCTGGTCAAGGCATCGAGGTTGAGGAGGCCGTTCCCTCGAGCCTGTCTAGTTGTCAGTCAGTCGTCCGCGAGCATGTGGCAATCTCTCTCTGAGCGCTCTTTTGACTTCCCGAGCTTCGCTCGGCGCTGCGGCCTGCCTCGTCAACATTGCCTATCTCATTATCGTCAACTCGTGCTGCGAGGAACTTTCGCGGAGCTCTGGTCTGGTCTCGACCGGCACGCTCACCTCGCAACCTCTGCAATCCATCGTGGTTTTTGGACTCGAGCAGCTCACTCAGCTCCGTGCGATCGTCGCCCAGTTCCCGTGAAAGCAAAGCCTTTTGAGCTGTCAGTTGTACTGTTTCTCGGGTCGATTTCGGGTGGAGCACCATTACCACCATTATCACCATGTAAATTTTCTGTCCATTCGATAGAGCCAACGAGGCCCTGGGACCTAGGGTTAGGGTTGTATCATGCTCGAGAGCCGAGCAAGAACAGAATCTACGGTCAAAGGATCGAGGAGGTTAGAACCGGTTGGGATGTGGGTTAAATCGGAATCGTGACGATCAGTTAAACTCGATAAATTTGCAGTTGTAGTTGGGGAGCCGAGTATGTGGGACGTGCCAGGTTGGGTTGGGTAGAGGAGACGAAGGTTAAAAGATCGGTGCACGTGCAAGTGTGAACGAAGGCAATTTCAAGAAGCGTGGGCCGAGTAGCAATGTGCGTATAAGGCAGTTTAGTGTGGCGCACGCATCAGTGAGGGTTCCGGCAGCTTGGGAGTGAGCATGCGCAATTCCGAGAAACCATATCACCAGCAGATCGAACTTCAACGTCGCGATGAGGAAGAGCCTCCCGTTAACGTGTTCGTCCATTTAGCCGACAAATCTTACGATAGATCAGGGCTGCTGCCTGCTGGCGAGGCTAGGTCTGATGGTTTTGCTCCGATTGCGACCGGTAATATGAATGGGAATGGCGCTCTTCGGAACGTGATCAAACAACCGGCAGATGTGTTACCGCTGCTGGCCAGAAACAACAGCGCCTCAGGCGGAGAAGATGAAACTCCCCGGGCGAAGGAAGCTAAGTATGCCGGGGCAAGCTTGCGCAGTGCAGTTTTCAATTTGTCCACCACTATCATCGGTGCTGGAATTATGGCGTTGCCGGCCGCCATGAGGGTTCTGGGAGTTGCCGTGGGGCTTTTCGTGATCCTGGTCATGGGAGTGCTGTCGGAGATTAGTTTGGAATTGGTGGTTCGTTACAGCACCCAATTGAAGGCTTATTCTTACGGAGATATGGTTTATGGAGCTTGGGGAAAGACGGGGCGCTTTGTGGCCCAGATGTGTGTTATAATCAATAATGGCGGAATTCTCATCGTATACCTCATCATCATGGGAGATGTGCTTTCCGGTTCTAAGGATCACACGGGGCTTTTGGAGGGATGGGCGAGACATGCAGGATGGTGGACGGACAGGAAGATCGTTCTGCTCTTTACACTGATTATCGTGCTCGCTCCCTTGTCATTTTTCAAGAGGATCGAATCTCTGGAAGTTTCTTCCGCCATATCCGTCGCTCTGGCCTTGCTATTCGTGATCATAGCATCGGGCATCGCTGCTCTCAAGCTGGTAGAAGGAAAGTTAGCCGTCCCTCGCATGGTACCGGCTTTCGATTCCAAGAAGAACATCTTGGATCTTCTTATCGTGGTGCCGATCATGACCAATGCGTTCGTTTGTCAGTTCAATGTTCCACCGATCTATTACGAGCTGCGAGATAGAAGCGCGCCGAGGATGAACAAAGTGGGACGAATTTCCATCCTTCTGTGTGTGATTGTGTATATGGCAACTGCTCTCGCGGGCTACCTTCTGTTCGGAGATGCAACAGATTCAGACGTATTGTCGAACTTTGACACAGATTTGGGAATAGAGCATAGCCAGTTTTGGAACGATCTGATTCGTGTGGGTTATGTGATTCATCTGTTTTTCGTGTTCCCGGTCATCAACTTTTCCTTCAGGCAAACCATCGACTCCCTTCTCTTCCCGTTGTCGCCTCCCCTACAAGACAGCAATGCCAGATTTGTGATCCTCACGTCTGCCTTGTTGACAATGATTTACTTGGGCTCCACATTGATTCCCAATATCTGGGTCGCTTTTCAGTTCACGGGTGCGACGACGGGACTTGCTCTGGGATTCATGTTTCCAGCGTTAGTAGCACTTAGATCTGTCGGCGTCAGTGTAATGGAACGGAAACTTGCCTGGACTATTCTTTTGATGGCAGTCGTCGTCAGCGTGGTAGGGGTGACCACTCAAATCTACAGCTTTGCCACAGGTCAAGCTTAGGAACACCTTCTTCCTTGCCTCCGCTGACAGTCATTCGCAGGGTTATGCACAGCAAAGAGGTGCTGCTAAATGTCACGTGCTTATCTTCAGAGGCCCTTTTGTGGACTCGCCAATATTTCGGGAGATTGTCTATTTTCTCCGCGCTCTTTCTCGAACGACAATTGGTCTACCACCAATCCTGCAATACATTTATTTCGTCAAAAGCAGGTTCTTGCGGATCAGCTGTACGAGTTCCCGACCTGCCAGAGTAGATGAGATTAAATTTTTTCTAGTGTAGTGTTCATGCTAGTCGAAGATTGGTCTGAACCTTGTTTCACCTCGAAGGAAACAAGTTTGTCGGTGCTCCATCCAGTGAAATCTGGAACCTAAAAGGTGCAGGTTCACTCAACTCTTTCCTAATTGAATGCCTTATGTGCTGCAGTGTTACTCTGTGAACCTGCATGTAATTCTAGACATGCAAGATTTGACACCTTTAGCTTCCTACACATTCCATTTTTTTGTCATTCCCATAAATTATGGGGCCGACAGCAATTGAGGTAACAATTTGACTGATGTCCTCTCGTGGCTTCTTCACGCTGTGCCTTGACCTCGACGCTGTGCCGCTGTGTTTCATGGTCATACATCTCCCTCTTAACATGCGTTTGCTCTACCTATCGCGCTCAGCTTTTCAAGTTTGCTCGTTTGGTTCAGCACCACTTTTCCCACCTGCAAGTCTTCGTTGGTTGCAATCAGCTGCGAATCTCTTTCGCAGCATCGACGATCGCAGATAATAGAAGCTGTAAGCCTCTGAGTTCGTCCAGCTACATGAAGTTTGACAACTGGCTCCTGGCGACCGTCAACACTCAACAACATCCTCTATCTGCGGCAGGAAGTCGGTCCGTCGGCAAAACTCCTCACAGAATCATCAGGGCGTGTATGAGCCGTTTGTGTGCGGACTTGCGTGGCACCGAGGGTACTTCACACGCTTCCAGGAACGCCTTCGATGTGAACTCGCGCCGTACACATACTCCAGGAGATTGTTTGCTGCAGTGCTCGGAGTGTTGACTTGAGCTTTTCTCTCGTAGTTCACAGGCGAAAAGCGTCCCTTACAACTTGTGCCGTGACTTTATAGCTTGTGCGGAATATATTTCTGTAGACCGGGGATTATCAGGAGCCTTTCCGATCCACCATTACAGCAGTGGAGTAGCGTGATGATGAGCAACTCACAAGGTTGTAGGCTCGAGAGCTGCGAATCGAAATGCCAAATCGACGACGGCTAGTTTGTGGCCCACATCAATATCTTGTGGCTTCTTCTCACTACCTTCTTCGGTTTTAACTTGAGGCGCAGGAAGCCAGAAACCCAGTCCTTCCAAGTCCTCCAAAGCTCCAAGCCTGAAGCATCATCACGACCAGTAGTACTCTTGTATCCTCTGAGGCCTGGAGCTCTATGCGTCCTTAACAGTCATTCTTACGACTAAGCCATTCACATCGTGTTCATAAGGACAGAGTGGAGTAACCTGGTGATTAAGCCTGGAGTAACCACTAGTTGTGGATAACACAACCAATCTAGGAACAGGGACAGAGTGGGGTAACCTAGTTGAGTGACGATGTGACGTGCATAACCACCACTAGATGTGGGTAACCGAACTAACGTGGTAGCAGGGACAGAGCTGGGTGAACCTAGTTGAGTGACGACGTGACATGGGTGACTACCACTAGATGTGCATTACCTAACTAACCTGGTAACAGGGACAGAGCAGGGTAATCCAGTTTAGTTACGATCTGACGGGAGTAAACACCACTAGATATGTATTACCTTAGTAACCTGGTAACAGGGACAGACAGGTACCGTCCTTGAAAGTGGCATTTGCCACTTTTACCATATTTTAGTTAATTGTGGCACTCAACATTTTTTAAAAGTGGCATTTGCAGCGAAAAGATGTTGTGAGTTCATTTCACAACAACAACTTCAGGCATGATTTTTTTTTACGTTGTGGCTTATTTAGGTACCCATAGCCATCAATATGTGACGAGAATTTAAAACAGTTCATGAACAGGCATCATGATTATTTAGAGTGACAATATTCAAAGCACATAGAGCTTGTACCTAAGAAAAAATGACTTTGAGGTTTTTGAAAAGCAAACGTTAAATTTAAATTTTGATGATGTCAAAGAAATCAAAATCCACTAGAGTTGAATTGTATAACTCCTTAAAACTTGAGTGACATCATCTTTCTCGATCCTAGGACTAGAGAGAGATTCAATTTCATTACCAGAATATTCTAGCATTGGAATGTTAGAATCCAAGGCCAGAGACTGAAGTTTGACTCTTTACAGGTTTTTCGCTATACACTAATGAGAAAGTAGAAGCTTGGCTTCAAATACAAGGGCAAGGCCAAGCATGCCAAACGAATGTTCACAATGCTTTTGCCTTGAATATACATGATCAAAATCAAAGAAGTAGTACTATTCCACAAGTTGCTTCTTGATGTCATAAATTCAAAAGCAATGGTACCTGCTATGACAATATATGTACCTAAACAGTGCACTTTTGAATTTGAGCTTCCGCCGATAAGGAAGTATGAACTTCTTTCAACCCACTCCACTTCATTCGAATGTCCTGTCAAGTTATAGCACATCACTGACCAGAGTACTGATAGAAAGAGATTTTATCAGATGATCATGCGTTACTTCAAATTCTGTCCACAATCAGTTCAAAAACAAGAAAATCAGTAAGTACAAGTATCTTTTCAATCCTTTACTACATACTGACGATACTAGTATTTCCTGGTTGACATTCAATTCACAAAATTTGACAGCAAGACCAAAAAGAAAAAAATCACAAAATAAAATTTGTCCAATTCTGTAGTACCTATGTATCATTTTTTTGAATTGAAATCATCAAAATAAAAACTTTAAAACGTCATACTGTCATGCGTGCATGATGCCGCAAGAGACAGATTGTGCAGATCCGTTCATTGATCATCTTTTCCATTTCAAGACAAAGTACTCGGATTCGATTGAACATGTGTTTGCAAAGACTGTTGCAAGTGTGTTTTTCTTCAATTTGATCGATATCCTTCGGTGACTAGTGTTTCTACACATGCGTTTGAAACCGATCCAAATATTTGTTGATGAATTTTTGCATCCGTAATTTAACAATGTCGGCAAGCATAACTAGTGGCGTTTCAAGCTCGCAAAAATTATTGTTTGAGTCGCGATTTGCCTAAATCATGCACGCTTGGGTTATAATTGATAATGCAAAATGATCAATTACATTGATAATGTTGTTCTTGGTATCAGATCCATTTCCAAGAATGAATCTTGCGCCCATGAACCTTGATCATCAATATGATCATGAACATAATCAAACAAAATGTACATGCCATCTTTGAATAACATGGAATCCAAATCTTGATATTCGACATCATTGAATATGCCATCTTTTTTTGACCTAATATCTACATATATTTGTCACCAACTTGTCCAATTCAACACGCTGTTGTGAATCGATCATGTCGCGCGCCTGCAATGTCTTGAATGTAACTTAACAATGTCAGCAAGCATAATTGGTGGCGCTTCAATCTCACAAACATTGTTGTTTGAGTTGCAATTTGCTTGAATCATGTACGCTGGTGTTATAATTGATAACGCAAAATGACAAATCACCTTGATAATGTTGTTCTTGGTATTCGGATCTAATTCCAAGAATGAATCTCGCGCTCATGAACCTTGATCATCAATATGATCATGAGCAGAATCAAACAAAATGTACATGTCAACATTAAATAACATGGAATCTAAATCTTGATACTGGACATCATTGAATATGACGTCTTGTTTTGATCAAATACCGACATATATTTGTCACCAACTTGTCCAATTCAACATGGTGTTGTGAGATGATCATGTTGCGCGCCTACAATGTCTTGAATGTGATTTGAATCATGGCAAACAGTGGATGAAGGGACGCAACAATGATCCTTCACTTACTAGACGGCACTTGCACATGCCGCTTTTTTTCAATGTGTGGACGAATTCATCAGCAATTTTGTAGAACCCATTTGAGTAAACTACCAAATCTATGGCTAACAAGTACATGAATTATCAATTTATTTGAGCAAGGTTGAGCTTTCTTTAACACTGTGTGTGGGAGATTTGTTGAAGTCGAACCTCGTTGACAGATTTTTGACGATGACGGATATTTTGTCGCGATCGTATTTTTTTTGTTGCGTACAGGTTTTTGACGGTTGAGCTCAATGCAAGTTTGAGGTGTTTAGAGTTTGTTGCTGACACAAGTTTTAGTTTAAGTTTTTTCAAAAGTTTGTGGTTTGATTTGCAATTGAAAAAAGTTTAGGAAGCCAAAGTTGACATGAATCGATGTCGACAGTTGTAGAAGTTCGTGATAGCGCTTGTTATTTATGAGAGTAGAATTATATGATTTTTTCACAACTGCGAAGGAGGTTTTTTTTTTTTGTGAGAAGTGTTGAAAATTCTCGGATCATTCTTGTTCCAGAATCAAGAAGTACTTGAATTTTGACAGAAATTTACCAGTTAGCTTCTTTCCTTTGAATGAAGCTGCAAGCTAGAGCTCACGAGAGTGGAGTAAAGCTTCCAACGACAGAATTTATGAGTGAAGTATTGAGATTTCGACTTGTTTTTCACTACATAATTATGAAGCGTCTAGCATCTAGAATCTTCATTCACCAACTTGTAGTTTATTAAGTCTTTACATTTCACAATAGACTACATATCACTTTCCGCGATGCTTATGAAATGTCTCTAGTTTTTTGTCTCTGACACTATCGGAGGTAGGTCAAAACTGCACTGTGAGAAGGAAGTTGAAAGTACAGATGAACAACTATTGATAACAAGTATTGGTAACAATGAAAGTTTGAAGAATTATTTATGACAATTTGAGGGTTCGTGAGTATTCTTTCAATCTTGGCAGTTGGTAGTTTGCAGCGACACACACGAACTTTGTTGTTAGTAGTTAGTTACCGAGAGCAGTGTAGTGATCAGATCAGTATAATCTATGGTGTTAGATCTTCTTTGTCTTCATACCCTTCTTTTTAGGCTAGTATACTGACGGTCGATGTTCTCGATCATCCTTATCACCTATGCTACTTAAATAATACTTCTCTCACTAATCTAAGATCGAGTTTAGTCTTTACTTTTAACATGGTAATAGAGCAAATTGTTTCGTTCTTCTTTTGCTAGCAACAGAGGATTAGAGACTTGCCAGTCTTGTTTCTTTCGATAAGCAAATGCCTTCATGTTAGAAGAAAACTTGTTGTTCTAGGACCTTAGCTAGCAATGGACAAAGTTTCAAATTTTTCCAAGTCTATGAAGCTTTCTGGGCGTGACAACTATCTCAATTGGTCTATCCAACTCAAAATGATTCTTTGCACTAAACATTGTTGAGATGAGATCATCCACCAACCAATTTTACTTCAACAAGACGCTCGTCAACAAGACATCCGCAAGCGTCTTCGGTCCATGCAGTACTTCACTCAAGGAGAAAACACAATCAAACGAAGAAACTAACTTCTCTGCTATCAAACACCATAATCGACCATTGTGCGAGCTCAAGTCATACTCCTCGATCAACTCGTTTTTATGTTACCTCAACACCACGGGCACAATGAAATATGCCACGTATAGCACGATGACTACTGTAGTAGGGCTAATCATCTTTTCGTTGACTATCACTCACAAAAGTTAGACAAGTCCATTGCACAGCTGCAAATTTGTGCATCAAACTCTAACTATCTTTACTTAATTAGAACTAAAGTAAATGTTGATATAGATACTTTAACGTGCATTAGTCATGGCTATCACGTCAAAGATCTGCGCTTGGTAGTTAAAGAGTAGGTGTGTTAGTTGACAACGCTATAAAAGTTTCTAAAGAACCTCAGGATGTAGAAGCAAATTTTACATGTGACATCTTTCCGATCGTTGATTTTTATCTTGATTCGGGAGCAAGTAGCCATGTCACAGAAGATCATTCTTTTCTATCGTCATTTCAAGCAAGATATTCATCAATAGGAGTGTATACTGCCAATGGGGCTTGTCTTTCTGTAGTCAGGAAATACACTTTGAGTATTGACTTTAACGAATCCGTCAAACACGTTTAGTATGTTCTTGGGTTAACAAAAAATGTCCTAAATGTAGGTAGTCTCCTTGATTCAAGGCATTATGCACTCTTTGCGCCTTATTCATGTTTTCTTTTAGATGACAAAAATCCAATTAGTATATATTTGTACGCAAATAGTAATACTAGGAGTAAATTATATAAGATTAAGCATTTTCATCCTTAATTATTTGAAGAATCCAAGCAACTACTCACAAATGTTTATGGAGCGACAATTCATGCCTCCCGCCTATCCTGATTTTGTTGGAATTACTGAAGACAATCCGACTCTTGCAACTTTATCGCACATTAACACAATAATCCTTTGGCATCATTGACTTTGTCATCTAAATTTCCAGATGGCACACCATATGTCGTTCAAACGTCTTGTGAAAGTTTTGCCTTACATAACATCAAGCTGTGAACATAAGTGTGTCCCTTGTGTTTTGTCCAAGCAACACCACATAAAAATCTTGCCAAACAAAGTATTCGTGCTCTGGAGCTAATCCACACCAACATCTGTGGTCTTGTTGTAATAAGATTCGAATTTAAGTATATGCTGACTTTTATATATGACTATTCACGGTATACATGAACCTATTTCCTTTGAGTTAAGAGTGTTACATTCAATTGTTTTACACAGTTTGTCCCTTTACTCCAAAACGTGTTTTCACATAAAGTAGTTGCCATCACTACTCGAGAGAGTGACTGGAACTTCAAAGTTTCAAGCCTGCATTCAGAAAAAGGAGGAGAATATTGTTCTTAATCATTCAAAACCTACTGTCCTAATAAAAACATACAATGCCAATTCACTATTGCTCAAACTCCGCATCAAAACGGAG